CATTTGCCGAGTTTCGGTGTAAAGAATAGATGAAACTATCACAACCAAAACAGACGGACTCTACAGTGGATTGATTTCAGGCTGCGCCCCCAGAACATGCTCCTAAAAAAAAGAAAAACAAAAACAAAAAAAACCAACCAACAACGCTGGAAAAACAAATACTAAAAAAAACAAAAACACAACAGCAGAATCAAAGCAGTAAACGCATAAACTCCTGAGTAAAATGCTCTCCCCCCCGCCCAAAAAAAAAAACCTAAGAAAGCCACTAGTTAATGTCACAACGCACTCCTTGCTTACTGCTTTTATCACAGCTCAGGTTCAGTCTCCGTAGAGACTGTCAAAAATTGCCAGTGCCGACTATATTTCAAGTCGTCACGGCGGGGTATTGGGAAAAGTTTTCAATTAGCAATAATCGCGCCTCGGATAAACCTCATTGGCTACGATACTGCCACTGCGCAAAGCTGGGAGTTATAACCATGAGCCATACTCCCCGACGGTGAAAACGGCTTTTACACTGAGGGTGAGTGACTGCTAGCAAGTTCGTACATCTGACGCGTTCCCCTGCAAGCAGTTATATTTAAGACTCGCCTACATGGGAGGGCTTCTTGTTGTTGGGCCACCTCGTGTAGAATGTTGAGATTTTACAAACGAGAGCACACTCGCTGTGGATGCTGGGGAATTTTATGCAAATCACCATAACGTCACAAACAGAACCAAACCGGCTTGATTTGGAATGAGAAACAGCGGCGGCAGGACAGCGAAAGTAAGGGTGAGCCGGCGAGGAAAGCAAGGGTTAGAGAAAGTATTTCCAGAGAAGTTACATTTGAAATGTTAGCGTGGCAAGGAAGAAAAAATAGAACAAGAAAACAGATTACGCCACTTTTCATAGGGCAAGAACTGAAAAAAACAAACGCCCCCACTCAATTGAGATGAACGATCAAAAGCTAAAAGAGAACAAATCCTAGGCACTGCCTACCAAAAGAAACGAAACTCTAAGTACTGACGGTCAGTAACGGTACAATAAATTACTGTATCTCTCCTATAACTCTAATCAGTATTTGAGTGATACTTCTTACTTTTTATACCTGCAATAATCAGTCTCCGTAGAGACCGTCAAAAATTGCCAGTGCCGACTATATTTCAAGTCGTCACGGCGGGGTATTGGGAAAAGTTTTCAATTAGCAATAATCGCGCCTCGGATAAACCTCATTGGCTACGATACTGCCACTGCGCAAAGCTGACCAAGAGTAGCCCTATTCATCATCCCGAATAAGCAAGATTCCTATTACAGAAAAGCGAGTTTGAGTATCAAGGAAAAAACCTCAATTATTGTTTGGTTGAAAAATAACATAACTCTTACAGATTTCTCATAAATGCATAGGCTATTTCTCAAGATTCCTCGCTTTATTTCAATTAGAATGTGGTGGAGAATGAAGCAAAGCATTATGGGAGAGAACATGCTAATAACCTAATGCAGTATATGGATTGGGGCAGATGAGAAATGTGCTCAGTGTCAGGGTACTGTTTGTTCACTTGACTCCAGATTCACGGTGTAACTAACCCCTCCAAAATAAGTTGTTTTTATTGTGGTAAAACATATATAACAATAAAAGTTACCGTTTTAGCTATTTTTAAGTCTACAGTTTAGTAGCACCAAGCACATTTACATTGTTTGCAACCATCAGTGCTTTATATCTCTAGAAACTTTTCATCATCCCAAACTGAAACCCTACCCATTAAACATTAACTCTCCATTGCTCCTTCCCCCAGCCCCTGGCCACCTCTATTCTACTCTGTCTCAATGAATTTGATTCTAAGTACCTCATGTAAGTATCCAATATTTGACCTTTTGTGTCTGGCTAGTTTCATAACATCATGTTTTTCAAGTCCATCGATGTTGTATTATATTTCAGAATTTCCTTCCTATGTATGACTAATATCCTATTGTATGGAGTTTTGTTATCTATTCATTCTACAATGGACATGCATTGCTTCTACCTTTTGGCTATTGTGAGTAACACTCCTACGAACACTGGCATACAAGTATCAGTTTAAGTCCTTGTTTTCAATTCTTTTTTGTATATACCTAGAAGTGGAGTTTCTGTCTCATATACTAATTCTATGTTTAATACAAAAGAGTTTCTTGTGGATGTCTTATTTTAGAGGAGAAAGGCTGAAAGAAGCTGTATCCACAGAAATGTTCACAGTTCATGAAGTTTGAAGTAACTTTCACCCTCATTGCCTGTTTAATCTCTGCAAATGGAAAGCTGTTAGAAACCACTATATGGATTTGGTTCTTCCACGAACTATGTTCTCCAAAATACTTTTGGTTTTTGCTACTCATTAAGATGCAAATAGTAGACTCTGAGAAGCAACATTGTCCTGAACATTTTTTAATAAAAAAATTTCAAACACGGGCCTGGCTGGGTACCTAAACTGGTTAGAGCATTGTCCGGATGTGCCAAGGTTGTGGGTTCAGTCTCTTGTCAAGGCACAAGAGTCAACCAATGAATGCATGGATATGTGGAACAAATTGATGTCTGTCTGTCTCTCTCAAATCAAAAAATTTTTAAAAATTAAAAAAAATCAACCAGTGAATAAGTGAAACAAATTGTTTCTTTCTCTCCCTTCCTCTCAAATCAATCGTCAAATATTTATCTCAAATAAAAATTTCAAACAAAAAATAAAGTATTGATCAGTGAATATTCATTTAGTCAGCATCTAGATGCAAAAATGAACATCTTTAAAAGGTATGATGCTGATGTGTCGTTTCTTTTCTTTCCCCAGCCGTAAGTACCAGAATACAAAAAAAAGCAGAAAAAAAGAAAACACAATTTACTTAGGTTACTTAAAAAAAAAAATTTTTTTTAGAGAGGGGGGAGGGAGGGAAGCACCAATGTGTGAGAGATACATCTATCAGTTGCTTCTCTCAAGCCCCTAACTGGGGACCTGGCCCTCAACCCAGGCATCTGCCTTGACTGGGAATCAAACTGGGAATTGCAGGCCAGCACTCAATCCACTGAGCCACACCAGCCAGGACTGATTAATTTACTTTTCAAAAATTTTATTTCTCATCTGAGGATATATGTTTATTGACTTTAGACAGACAGGAAGTGGTAGCGGGGAGGGAGAGAGAGAAATATCCATGTGAGGGAGAAATACCAAGTTTGCCTCTTTTACTCTCCCAACAGAACCCACAACCTAGGTATGTGCCCTGACCAGGAATTGAATCCACAACCTTTTGGTATACAGGACCACACTCCAACCAACTGAGCCACCCAACCAGAGCTTCAATTTTTTAAAAAATTTGATTTTAGAGAGAGAAGAAGGGAGAGATAAAGAGAGGGAGGGAGGGGAAGAGGCGGGGGGCGAGAGAGAAACATTAATTTGTTGTTCCACTTATTTATGCATTCATTGTATGTGCCCTGACAGAGATGGAGCCGGCACCCTTGGCATATGGGAACAATGCTCTAACTAACTGAGCTACCCAACCAGGGCTAAATTAATTTTCTTTGATACAATGAAGGACTTAGTCATTAATGCCTGGTGTGGTGGAGTTGTGGGAAATAGAAAGACTAGGGTTATTCAAAGAACTTAGCCCTTAAGAATGTCTTGATTGGGTGGCTCATTGCATCCTGTCAGCAGCCACCAAGGGAAATTGTGCGTTTCCCCAGCTGTCCTGGATGACTTCATCCTACACAGATGACTTTCCAACACTATGAGAAAAATGGAAAACTCAGCTAACTTCTGTATAGAATGTGAGATTCTTTGGGGCCTAAAAGCACAATAGTTTTGTATTCCTAGCCAGTTTCTATTAATGATGCTCATTCCACTTGGAGAACTGAGGAAAAAAACCCGATGAATTTGAAATCTTTCATGATATAATTTGGCTGGGGTTGAAGTTTTTCATAATAAAATTTGGCTGGGGTGGGAGGAATGTCACTTTTGGGACATTCCATGGTTTTGATCGAATACCCATGTGTTAAGAAAGTGTTTTGGATTACAATTGTTTTGACTTAGTATAAGTTTCCAATCTACATTTTGGTCCTTTCTTTCAGCCAGTGTAGACAGGTTAAAGGCGGCACAAACAGCCATCATGTCAGGAGATTCTCCCAGCTTAAGTGACCTATCGGAGCTGCTGCCAACGACACTGGTCCCAAACTACTAAACTGAGTTACTTTACCAATATTTACCTCCATGACGCCTTCAACGAGACGACCAGGAACCAAAGTCTGACTCAAACTTTCATACCATTCCTCTGAGCTTCAGCTCCTCATAAAGTGGGGAAAGTGGTCCTAAGGTGGTCTTCAAAGTCTCTGCTGGCTGTCCTTTGATTACGTTCTAAAACACAAGTTGATTGATGTCTTATTTAGGTGATGTTATAGAGCAGCCGTTCTCATAGGCTACCCATTAGAAACAACTGGTAAGTTTGTAAACCGACTCGATGCCCAGGCATTTCCCCAGAAGGAATAAATCTATCTCTGGCAGTGAAAACCAGGCATTGTGTTGGGTTAATTTAGTGGTAATAAAAATACAAAATAGAAAATAACATTGGAAAAGCCAAATAGGTAAACACATTAGTTCCTGTAAATTGGATTTGGCTTTAATTGTTCATTAATATGTAAAAACATCAATTTTTCAGGTACTTGTGAATGTACTTCTTGACAACCCACAGCAAGGTGGGAACTTGGTTCTGTCACAGTGAGTGGAAAGGATTATTAAAACTGAACTCGAGGGTGAATCAAATCTAAAACCGTTATTAAGGCTTCTATTTTAAGAGAGAATGAGCTCCTTAGCGCTCTTTAGTGTACAATTTTGCACTCAGGACATTGGTGTGATGCTCTAAAAACTTCACAGAGAAGGCAATGTATTGGCTTAGATTTAAGAGCAGCACACGGTGAGTCAAAGTTCAAAACCTCTGACCAGGAAAAGCTGACAGGGGGCGCTACTGTGAAACCTAGAGAACTGTGGGACTTGTAGTTTTTCTTGCACCATTTAAGTTTGTAAACTACATTTCCCAAAATGCAAATGTAGCCAATCCGTCCCACTGTAGGACTTGGTGTCCCTTACGCTGTGAAAGGTAAGTGTGCTCTGTGCGGGCTGCAGGTTTCTAGCAGCTGTGAATTTCTTGTAAGGTATTCGATTTCTCCCTTTTGCCCTTTGGTGGGATCTGGGAGAGGGCTCTTCTCCTAATAGAGCTTGTTTTCAGAGGTGTCTTTCAAGCTCTTTGGTCTCAGGAATTAGAACTCTGTACTTGTTTAGTTGTTCACATGCTGCTGGGGAATGTCACGGAGAAATCGGGGTCCTGAACTTAGCTCTGGAAATGCAAGCATAAAATACGTTTATACATGGGATGCGTGTCGCTACAGAATTTCTGCGTCCTATCAAATAATGCCAAATTCTTGTTTTTACAGCTAGAAAAGCAGACACGCATGGGTAAGATGCCTTGCCAGGTCTCACTATACTTTGCTGTGTGCAAGTAGCAGTTTGAAATTGAGGGTCAACTAAAAGAATGTGGGGGAAATGAAAAGTGTGCGTGTGTTTAATTATATGAGTAAAATAAAAGGCCTGAAAAATCTGAGTAACAACTTCATCAACACCTGGTATACCAGAACTCAAAGGTGCTTCCCTTAACTTACAAAAAAATAAGATAATTCTAATATATAAAATGGGATGTAGGTTTATGGAACACAGAATTCCTCAAGTGACAGTATTAACTAAAATATTCATATAAATATATTCTTCTGATGGAGGAATACTATTCCTCATACATTAAAAAATTAATAGTAATTTCTTAATATCAAACATCCAGTTAACATTTAATTTTCCATTTGTCTTATAACTGTCATATTTTATTTTTTTAAAGATTTTATTTATTTTTAGAGAGGGAAAGGGAGGGAGAAAGAAAGGGAGAGAAACATCAATGTGTGGTGGTTGTTAGCATGCCCCGCACTGGGACTTGACCCGCAACCCAGGCATGTGCCCTTCATTGGGAATCAACCCTGTGACCCTTTGGTTTGCAGGGTGGCGCTCAACTCAGAGCCACACCAGCCAGGGCAATAACTGTATATTGTAAAAGCCTGTTTGGCTCAGGTTTCAAATAAGGCCCACATACTATTGCAATAATTTAATCTATGTAATTCCCCCTTCGTCTCTTTCTCTAACTCTTACACTTTATTTGTTGGGAGAAACTGATTTGTCTGTCCTGTAGTTTCCCATAGTCTGGACTTTGCTGATTGACAAATGGTATTATTTACACTCTAGAGACTTCATCAGAGCCAAGTTCAAATTTTTTTTTTTTTTTTGCCAACACCACATCTTGGGTGGCGGTATGCCCTTCCAAGAGTCTCATAATTCTGGTTCTCTCTTTTGTCATGATGATGCTCAGTGCCTAGATCCTACTTTCGTTTTTCAGCAATAAAAAGGAGTTCTGATACAATCTCCCTTCCTCTCGTTTCTGATCATTACTAATCTACTTTCTGTCAATATGGATTTGCCAATTCTGGACATTTTATATAAGTGGAATCATATGATTTTGTCCTTTTGTGATGGGCTTCTTATACCTTGCATAATGTTTTCAATGTTTTCCATATTGTACCCTATACCAGAACTTCATTTTTATAGCTGAATAATATTCTATTGTGTAGACAGACCACATTTTATCTGTTCATCAATTGATGGTTTCCTGTATTTTTAAAAAAGTTTTTAAAACAACTTAAAAAACTGGGAAAAAAACCCCACTCCAACAAAACCCAATTTCTAAAAAACAAACAAACAAAAAAAACCACCCCAAGCTCTCAGATGCAGAGAACAGATTGGTGGTTGCCATAGGCCAAGGGGTGGTGGGATGGGTCAAGGTGGTCAAAAGGTATAAAATTCCAGTTATGAAATAAGTCAGTCACAGGGATATAACGTACTGCACGGTGACTATAGTTAACAATACTATATTGCACATTTGAAAGTTCTAATGTAGAACTTAAGTAGATCTTAAAATTCCTCATCACAAAAATATTTCTGTAACTATGTGTGGTAACAGATTCAACTAAATTTATTGTGGTGATCATTTCATAATAGATACAAGTATTGAATCATTGTCTTGTATACCTGAAACTAATACGTTTTATGTCCATTATAAATAAATAAATAAGTTGATTTTTCACATGAGGTTTCTCTCTCTCTCTAGATTGAGGATGAACTTTGGGTTGATGTTCAGGGCGGCAAAAGGCTGCCAGAAGGCAAACCTCAGCCTGCAGCGCTCACTTGGCCCCAAGGGGCTATTTGTGCCGCCGAGTCCTCCCGTGGACCCCGAGAAGGTTAAAGAGTTACAGCGCTTCATCACCCTTTCCAAGAGAGTCCTGGTGATGACGGGGGCAGGGATCTCCACTGAGTCGGGGATTCCAGACTACAGGTCAGAGAAGGTGGGGCTTTATGCCCGCACGGACCACAGGCCCATCCAGCATCGGGATTTTGTACGGAGCGCCGCAGTCCGCCAGCGGTACTGGGCGAGAAACTTTGTGGGCTGGCCTCGGTTCTCCTCTCATCAGCCGAACCCTGCACACTGGGCTTTGAGCAACTGGGAGAGACACGGAAAGCTCTACTGGTTGGTGACACAAAACGTGGACGCCTTGCACACCAAGGCGGGGAGTCAGCGCCTAACAGAGCTCCATGGATGCATGCACAGGTGCAGGAAGGCCTAAAGGGCTGGATGCAGAAATGCACGCTCCGTCAGGGCAGGGGCCTTGGCTGCCTTGATCACTGTTGTCTTCAGCAGACCTTGAGAAAAGGATTTGGGAGCAAGCTGTTTAATTTAGAGTTGACCTCAGCAAACTCAGTGAGGGAATGGGGAAAGAAAGCAAGCCCAAAAGGATACAGTAATGAATGGGTTCTGCTTTGGGCAGCTGGGGCTCAGGCCAGTGAGGGGCCCCCTGACTGTGTACCGCATGCTTCAGAATTCTCACTGGAAGTCAGGGAAGCAGGGGTGTTTATCCACCAGCTCCCATCCCTCACTGGTCAGAGACTGCTCTTGGGGAATTCACTCCCTAACACTGACTCTGCTCCTGCAGGGAAGGCTTCCTCTGCCACAGGAAGTTGCTCAAAAAAGAAGTGCGGGCAGTGGCCTCTAGGGGTCCCCAGGGGACTATGAGCAGAGAGAGCACCGACAGGCATGTGCTACAAACTGCCGCGGCTCTGGTGCGTGGACTTGTAGAACAGAGTGTAGCGGCACATGGTCAAAAGCCCAGTAAATAGTGCTGGAGTGAATACGTGTAGCCCTGGCAATAATTTGTAGCTAGCTGGAGACTACTTCCTTAACTTTAAGCCCCAGAGATCCTCCTGCAAATTGTAAAACATTTATTGGGTGCCTCCAACATGGGGCGTGTAGTGGCGTGCTACTTGGTGTTGGGGGATCATAACCAAAGTATAAAACTCGGTCTACTTTATATTCAAGAACTGTAATCTGCTTGGGGGAGACCCAAAAATAACACGTTTAACGACAAACAACTCCACACACGATTGTTAAATTGGGCGGTCCTTGATAGACATGCTTTACAAGTTTAGAGAAACAGATTTAGTAAAGATTGGAGAAATTGGGAAAGCTTTTATGGGTAGGGCAAAGTTTGGGGCTGGCTCAGATCTGACTAGGCAAAGGAGGGGAAAGAGAGCTTTCTAAATGAAAGGAATTTGTAGAGCCCAGAAGAGACTAGTCTGGCCTGCGGAGAGACAAGTATGAAATCAGATGTCTGGGAAGGCCAGGCCCAACTCATGGGCGCATCTGAAAATCACGCAGTGCAATCTGGGTCTGTTGTGAGACGAAAGGGGACAATTAGTGGTTTCTGAGCAAGAAAGCAACATGACACAAGTAACAGTGAGGGAGGTAGGACAGGCTGAGAAAGAGAGGCTCCGGGCGGGCCTGAAGGTACGGCAGGGGGTGAGAGAACGGATGGCAGCAACGGGTCCGGTTAAAAAGTTCTTTTTCCCTCAGATCTTTCAAATTTCAAACATCCACAAAAGTAAAGAGACTACTCTGATGAACCCCCCTATACATGCCACTACCCAGATTCAAAGATTTTACACGTCTACTTTATCTTTCCTCTCCATCTCTGCTTAAGTATTTTAAAACAGATTCAAGACTTCGTATCATTGCAGAGGGGGCCCTTTAAATTAAAAAAAAAAAAAAATCAACATCATCTGATGGTTTCCTAGATAGAGGAAAAGGAGTAAGAAATTTTTGCTAAGGGTTTTAGCCCAAGTAAGTGGAGAAATGATGGTGATAGAGAGGTTGAGGGGGAGGTGTTGTGCAGCTGGTTGAAGACAGAAGGTAAACTGGACAGGTCAGTCAAGATTTGGAATTGGCCCTGACCTGTGTGGCTCAGTTGATCAGACATTCTCCCTTGAAGCAAAAGGTCACTATTCAGTTCCAGCTGGGGAAGATGCCTGGGTTGTGGGTTTGGTCCCAGCTCTGACACGTACAAGAGGCAACCAATTGATGATCGATGTTTCTCACACTGATGTTCCTCTCCCTTTCCCTCTTTTCCCTAAAAATAAATAAAATCTTAAAAAAAAAAGATTTGGAATTGAACTCCACTTTGGGAGAGAGAGCAGGAGTGGAGTCCTATGCAGAGGAGGAAATCAGTAGCGCAGAAGCATTGATGCCATGAAAACAGTCCCCGAGGTGGGGAACGTAGAAGGAAAAGAAGCTGGAGGATTGAAGAGCAGAGGAGGAACCAAATAGACAACCTTCGGTTCTTTCTTTCGACAGCTATTCAGTGGGCAGTGTGCTGGGTGGTGGGCATAGGACAGTGGTCACGAGCAGTGGTCTCACCAAAAGAAGGCAAGATTCAGAGTTCTTGACCCCACAGAGCTCATGTTCTGGTGATGAGAGAGGTGACAGGAAGACACCACATCATAGACGCTAAGGGGAGATAAAGGATGGCGATGTACAGCACCAATTACAGCAGATGAGGACAGCAGAGAATGGAGGGAAAAACTGGTTTTGGCACTAAGGAAACCATTTGGTAAAGAACTGGCTGTCGTGTTAAGGATAAAAATGAGCTGGCAGAAGGTGAAGGAGGGTTTGTTTAGCAGGGAAACAGGATGTACCTGTTCTAGAAGGTTGGCAGTGGAAGGAAGGTGAGAAACGGTGGTAGCTAAAGAGGCCATGAGAAGATAGTCCTAAAACTGGGTGATAGGAAAAGGGAGCGAGGACGGAAGGGCAAAAGCAGTTGGGGGTGAATTGTTTTTGGCAGCCACCTGCCTCCTCAGGACAGACCGTTCAGTGGGCCTCCTCTTTGGTTTCAGGGTCCTCTGCCTGGACTGCGGGGTGCAGATCCCGCGGGGGCTGCTGCAGCAGCGCTTCGAGGCCCTGAACCCCACCTGGAGTGCGGAGGACCACGGCCTGGCTCCTGACGGCGACGTCTTTCTCAAGGAGGAGCAGGTGCAGAGCTTTCAGGTCCCATCCTGCGCTCGATGTGGAGGCCCCCTGAAACCAGATGTCGTTTTCTTCGGGGACACAGTAAACCGCAACAAGGTCGACTTTGTGCACAGGCGCGTCAAAGAAGCCGATTCTCTCTTGGTGGTGGGATCGTCCTTACAGGTATCTGATGTGGTCAGGGGGCAACTGCCCCCTTTGGGAGCCTCTCCCGGATTCCCTATTTGGTTTATCTCTTCCTGCATCTAAAGGTCTCTTACCTGTGCCTTCTCCTTGTACAGGTGTACTCTGGCTACAGGTTTATCCTCACTGCCCAGGAGAAGAAGTTACCAATTGCAATACTGAACATTGGGCCCACTAGGTCGGATAGCTTGGCATGTCTGAAAGTGAATTCTCGCTGTGGGGAGTTGCTGCCTTTAATAGACCCACACTGACCACAGCCTGATGTTCCTGAGCCAGACACTGGGACTCTCACTTGTCTCCTGCTGCTAAAGGTAAATCCTTCTCAGATATCCAAGATTCCAGTTCCCATTCATCTGAGAGCACTGACAAAATAAGGTTCTAGGCTCCTTAATGTGTGGCCATTCTTAATTTATTTCTTAATGTACATTAAACCATATTATTTGGAAGACTATGATTTTCAAAATCTAGGCACATAGCTATTTAAAACTACGTTCCAAAATCCATCATAACGTTTTTCCATTAAAAAAAAAAAACAGCTTTATTGAGATATAATAAATTTCACCCTTTAAAGGTATACAATTAACTTTTTAGTATACTCACAAAGTTGTATATTAATTACCACTCCCTAATTTCAGAACATTTTCATGATCCCAGGAAGAAACTGTGTACCCATTAGCAGTCATTCTCCAGCCTCTATCACCCCTGACTTCCTAGCAACACCTAATCTTTCTGTTTCTGCCTATTCTAGACATTTCACATAGTACGTATGTAGCTTTTTGTGTCTGGCTTCTCACTTAATGTTTTCAAGGTTCATCCATATGGTAGCATGTGAGTACTTTATGTCTATTTTTTATAGACAACTTTATTGAAACAAAATCCACATATCATACAGTTCATTCAGTTAATGTGTAGTTTGTTTTTAGTATATTCCTAGTAGAATATAGCCACTTTAAGGCTATTTTTTAAAGCAGTTTTACGTTCACAGAATTGAGCAGAAAGCGAAGAGTTCCCATATACTACTTGCCCTGTGCACTCACACAGTATTTATCATTCACCTACTGAAGGACATCTTAGTTGCTTCCAAGTTTTTGTCAATTATAAATAAAGCTGCTATAAGCAACCGTGTGCAGGATTTTGTGTGGACATAAGTTTTTAATTCCTTTGGGTAAATACCAAGGAGTGGATAAGACTGTTGGATCATATGATAAAAGTACGTTTCATTTTGTTAAACTGTCTTCCAAAGTGGCTGTACCATCTGCATTCCTACCAACAATGAATGAGAGTTCCTGTAACAGCCCCTTTGTGAAAAGCGTTTTAATTGAACTACACATACCAAGTGCACATGTGAGCGGGCAGCATCTAGATCAAGGAGCAGAACGTTACTAGCGCCCAAGGAGGCCCCCTGGCACAAGCACTTTTTAACTAGTTTCTTATTACTCTTGTAGAAGTTTGATGATGCAGGTAAGGAGAAAGAATACAAATTGCTCAGAATCCCACCACCGACATAACCAAAGTTTAACATTCTGGTATACAAAACCTGGTTTTACAAATACTGAAGTCATAGTGTTTTATCCTATCCTATTATATAGTTGACATATTTACATGTCCTAAGTGCTGTAAGTTTTTGAATGGTAGGCTGATGTTCCCAGTCATTTCCCCCACCCCACTCTTGGCTTATTTTGGCATTAATTTGTTCCATTTCTTTTCAGCTCCCTGAGGATTCATTCATCCCTTCTTTCTCTAACTAATCGAAGTTCGCTGAGTGCAGCCTGTAGAAGGCAGCAAACCAACACCTCTGCCGGCCCATCTCTGAACCCCGCAGCTTCAGAGCCAAGGAGTTTAGATCTTTGGGCTGATGAGATTTGCCCCTGAAGACAAACTTTTCCAAGCAGCAGCTTCTCCTGATGGGAAAACTGCTAAACTGCTTTCACTTCCTTTTTCTCTCATCAAGCAGGAGAAATGGCCCCAGAAATATGTAGGTCAGAATGGTCTGTGGAGCACTAACCCAGGGATTGTGCGACTGTATGTGGCGGGGGGGGGGGGGGGGGGGGTGCGTAATGGGGAAAGGAAATGACTTAATTTATAATTCTAAATGGTTAGCTGTCTTTAACAGAACCATTTTGATATATTTCTTGAAAAGATGAACTATGCTATGAATGATTTTTTTCTTAACCAAGGAATAAAGGAATCGTTTTTAAAGTAGCACACCAGTTATGTGGGCTGTATGTTTGTATCTTTTAATCAGCTAAAAGCCAATGGGACTTTATGACACAGTGCTCTAAGGATTTCTGCTTCATTCCAGCCAGAATGAGACACCCGCCTTGAACCTGGTCTATAGAGAGGAAACAGTGAATTCCCAAGTGGGATCTTAAATTGATTTGTTTCCTCTGGGAAAGCAGTAAGACTTGTTTGAATACTGCGTTAGCCCGAAAGAATCACTGTACCAGGCTAAAGCTCTCTGCACACAATCTCATCAAAAAGTGAAGCAGATGAAAGAATCACAGCCTATTCTGTGATTGTAGTCTTTTGTCTACAATTAGGGCAAGCAATACATGTTCATTCTGCACCTGCCAAGAAAGCAAATTTCAGTTAACTGGGATAACCCAAGATCTTGAAAACACAAAGAGCTCTTTTCACCTGCACAAGTGTAGGTCTGCCCATAGCCATTAATTAATTCTGAAGAGGTGTAAGGTTGTTGTAAATCTCACTCCAGCTTTTTTTTGCAGAGGGAGGTCCTTTTGAACCAGATTTGCTCAATTATCCAAAATCAGTACTGATAATTGTATTCAATCTGGGTCTTTTGAATCTCAAGCCATTCTTATCCACAAGACTCATAAATGGTTACTACTAAGTACTATACTACGATACAAAGGCTACAAAGATACAAAACTTTCTCTCCAGAGGTTCATGGGAAGATATGCTATTTCTCCTACCCTTAGTCTCCACCAGGAAATGACACAGAGTCAAGCATGGATTGACAGGATAAGAAAATTTAGTCCATCCCCCATTCCTTTTTGAGGAAATTAAGATCCAGACTTACCTAAAGCCACAGTATATAGTTTCAGAGCCAAGACTAGAATCCAAGTAGAATTTCTTCCCAGTTCTTTTCTTTTTAAACAGCAATGCTTCTCATTTGAAGATTACAGTTAAAAAGAAGTCGGTCTGGAGTAGGAGCAGAAGCCAGCAGTAAACCTGACCAAAGAGACCAGAAATGGTTAAATGTGGGCAGTGGAGAGTCAGCGAGGTTGCCAGGGAGAGGAGACAGGCTCTTTCATCACCTACTGCTGGCACGATTCATGAAACCAAGTCTCGAGGGCCTCAGGAATGTTCCTTTTTCACATTTCTTCCTGAGATGGAATTCTTTCCAAAGAATTTGTCTCAAGAGGAACCTGATTATTTCCTGAAGCTGATGGTTCTCACGTCACCACACTTCACATCTCTAGCTTTCCACCAGTATCGCATTCCTAGGCCACTAATAAGTGCCCTTGGTTGGAATAACAAACATCTTCTAGTGAGCACTACCTGTTTGCCCCGGTTACATGGTTCTAATTTAGTAAGCCCAGCTTTGGACATGACTTTCGGTCAAACTCTCCCTCAGCTGCTTCCACGGTTCTGTGCTATCACAATTTTAGCAAGGAGGTGCCACCAAGGCAAATCCGTATACATAACGCTTGAAAGCGTCTTCCCACTAACTCGTATTTTCTTTCCTATGCGGTCATAAATGGAAAATCATTCCCTTGCTTCTCCCTTAAATCGTATCATTACTGAGCACACGTTCTAAGCACCATGTGAAGGGTTTTACAACACATTAGCTCTGTAAGAATTAACCCCACAAGAGATGCTTGGGGATGAATAAGGGTCTTCAGTGAACGCTGACCTTTTCCTGAGAGGATCAAAGGAAGGACAAATGAGAAATTCAGCCCTGGCTACTGTGGCTCAGTGGACTGAGTGGCAATGTGAGAACCAAAGGGTTGCCAGTTTGATGCCCAGTCAGGGCACATGTCTGGGTTGCAGGTCAGGTCCCCAGAAAGAGGCATGCAAGAGGCAACCACACATTTGTTTCTCTCCCTTTCTAACCCTCCCTTCCCCTCTCTCTAAAAATAAATAAATATTTTGTTTTGTTTTTTTAAGAAAAACTCCACACTCCTAGGACCGCCTGTCCCAGATTGCCCTGCACTGAGGGGTTTCCTAAGATGCAGGGCTCTCAGTGCTCAAACAAGGATGAAGGAGTCACTTTGCTGCTAGGAATAGCACAGGTTGCCACCAGATATCAGTTAATTCCAGACATGTTATCCTCGTCAAGATTCAAGATGTTGCCCTAAGATCCAGGTTGAAAATTTTTTTTTTCACATAAATTCTACTTCATGAAAAAAAAAGGAAATTAAACCTATGCAAGAGAGTGTCAATTTATTAGAAAAGGACTATAACATGGAACTGAAACTCCTAGCATACAGACTTGGATTTCCATCCATGTCTTGCTATGTACTAGTTAGGTGAACTTGGGCAAGTTGTTTTATCTAATCTTGAGTCTTTTTATAAGTGAGGATAATAGTAGCTACCTCATTGGGTTGTTAGACAGATTAAACAGGGTAATTAAGCTTGCGAAGCTCACAGCAGGGCCTGGCTCACAGTAAACAAATGTCAGCCACTGTAATTAGGCCGTGGGAGGAGGGTAGGGTGGCCGAAAGCCATGATACCTGCCAAGCCTTTGTGCCCTATTTACTCTTTTAACTAGACTCACGGGCATCTTCCCCAGAGCCATATTTCCTTTTTGTGTACCTGTTTTTTAAAAACTACAAAAGTCTTGCTTGATGCAATAAAGCCTTTCTAAAGAAAATAAAAAGTGGACAGCCTTCCTTCTCCATTCCCTTGGGAAAATAATTTTTATTAAACATTTACTACACAACAAATTCTGTAGGAAGCATTTTAGAACTATTGATTCACCTACAGTCATCCCTACAGCCAAACCTATCTATGAGCCTGCACACTGTTACTTCTTTTGAAAGATGACGACCCTTGCCCAAATTTCACCTAGGTTGACCAAGCCCGTCCAGTTCTGAGCTCGCTTTCCCCTGTTAATATATCAGAAACCCGGTAGGGTAACTGAGCACCTGTACTTTGGGAGGGAAGAAGGGCAAGGCTCAAGAAACTTCCAGAAGCGACCCAAGCTACTAGCTTGGTGAATCAATAGGCATTCACCAGGCGGGAAAAGGGGAAGCATCCCAAACGGAGAGAACCCCAAATGCAAAAAGGTGGAGGTCAAACCTGCAAATCCCTTCACCTTTCAAAAAGAAAATTCTTTAAGGTGGAGCTGGGGATTCAAGTGTGGACTTCACGCCCCAAAGGCTCTTGGCTCCGTCCAAGATTCACTCGCTTCTCTCCCAGGCCATCCTTCTCGCCACTTTGATTCCCAGGACCCTACTTTCCCGGCCCCCCGGAATAAAAGCAATGGAGACGTTCCCAACTGGAAATGGGCAGGGGGCGCCGGGGGAAGAGGAGCGTGTGCGCAGGGATGAGACTCCCACAGAGGGACGAACACGGCCGGAAAGTTGGACATAACGTCACACCCGCGTGTGTTCGCCTTCTTTTCACATTAACCTCCACCCCCCCACTCTTCTCCCAGGGTCTCACCTCCCTAGGACGCCACCTCACGCGACCACTACCAACTACCGCGCTTGCGCTCGCGCAGACCTCACACCCAGGGAGGCGGGGCCTGATCCTGGGAGGTGCGGAGGTAGTCCGCAGGCGGGGTCTCTGTTCAACGTTGGAAAGGCGTGAGGAGGTCACGTGTCCACAAAATACCCAATCACATTTTCTGCTCCGAAATCCCTGCTGTGGCCGGCAGCTTGACAGGGTTGGGCGAGGAGGACCACGTGATTAGAAAAGGTAAATACGGCCACGTGCTTTTTTCTCGTCTGCGGCAAATCATCGCACGACATTGCATCTTCGTTAAACAATTATTTAATAAGTATGTGAGATGTGCTAATCTCTGTGGCTCCTATTACTATGATATAATCCCTACGTCAAGTTACTATCAGTCCAGTATATTTAATTATTAATTTAAATCATCCCAGATCTTGTTCTAGTGTTTCCCGTCTTGCGCTTCCTGTAATGAGCACGCAGCAGATACTCATTAAAAGATTGTTAAAGGAATTTTTCTCTTTTCGTCCCCTCCTCTCTCTGGTGAATTTCGGTGGCAATGTAGTCATAAATCCTAGCAGAGAAAGTTGGCCAAGCAACTTAGTGGCAAAGAGCTCAGGCATTCACGTCAAGCAGATCTAGTAAAAAGCAGTGGCTTTTTCCTGATCATGCCGTTTGTGTGATCACAGGCAAGTGATTTCCCTGAGCTTTCAGATTCCCATCTATAAAATGGGAGCAATAATGTTGACCTCACAGAGCTGGTTTGAATATTTAATGAGATGAGATGTAGAAAGCCTATAGCACAGAGTGATACGCAGTAAATGTTCAAGAAGTAGAAGCTGTTACTTATTATGACTGCGATGTAAAAATCTCCCTGTCGAGTGTGGTTAAGTCTTTGAAAGGCTTAGAAAAGAGTTGTAAAAAAAATGGTTTTACGTAGTTGAAAATGGAGGCAGAGAAATCAGAGGAGGACAGATCTGGCTCAAACTGAAACAAGAGCCCACCTCTTCAGGCAGGGTAGGGTAGTGGTTAAGAGTGTGTGCTCTGTTGGACTTGCTGGGTTCAAATCCCTTCTTTGTTACTTACTAGATGCCTAGCACTTGGAAGGCAACCTCTCCTTTTGACCCTTAGCTTAGAAAACTAGGACTTGCTAATAGTGTCAAAACCTCATAGGATGCCCAGAGAATTTTGAGACATACAGTCCTGGCACAGAGTAAATACCCAGTGGTTGTTAATCATTGTTCAGGTCTCATGGTGGTCACGTCCTGGAAACATCCTGTGTGATTCAGCTTCCAAGGCTGGGAGGAATGATCCTCACAAAGGACTAGGAAGAGACTTAGTCATGTGCAGTAGATAGAGAATAAAAGAGTCTCCAAACGTGAGGCCTTGCAACAAGGTGCTTTACTGGAGTGTAAAGTATAAGTGTAAGTAAGTACAGTGTAAGTAAGGTGAATGCCAAAGGGATGATGCTTTACAGAGGCAACACTAAGTCTTAACAGTACTTCTTGGTGTCCAGGTTCTTGTGCTCCTTGTTGTATGGGGCCTTTGAAAAGCAGATGGCAGCATTGCGGTCACAGTTGCAGATGAAGGCCTGGCATGGTTTGTTTTTGCCTGGAAAAGAGCAAGAGGAGAGGACTGAGCCAAGGTGGATGCTGCTTTGTACAACCCACGGGTAGGAAACATTAACTGGGATAATTCAGTCACCATTCCATCAGTGCAAAATTTAGGGTTGACAAATCAAGCAATTAAAACACCAGAATTTCAGATAAACAATGAATGCAGTATTTGGGACATAGACTAAAAAATTGTTCGTTGTCTATCTCAAAGTCAAATTTAACTGGGCAACCTGTGTTTTATCTCATGATCCTAGGTGTGAGGGCTGCCTTTTGGAAAGTCTTTTCTATTTTGTACCACTATATGAGCTCACTGCTTGTAAAAGCCATATAGCTACAGATCTCTGATATCATAGGCAGGCAGTTACAAACCATATGGAAAACACTAAAGCATACACTTAAGGCAGCAAAGTATTTTACATTTCAACTTAGTGAAATTTAGTAAGCTGACTTGTCTATCTTAAAGCACATATTTTTAAAAAAATAGAATATTATACAGACATTTAAAAGAAGCATGTCTATATGTGGAAATACTTCTAAGATGTTTTATAAAAGGAAAAAATAACTAGTAAAGACTAAAAAAATTCAAAGGGATATATATCTAACTGGTTATCTATGGGTGATAGGATTATAGATACCTTCCACTTTCCATGACATACATTTCTATACAGTCTGAAATTACATTACTTTGACCTTGTCTACTTTTGTAAACAAAAGAAACAGCACAGATAATATTTAAAATGCGTGCAAACCTTATTATCCACAATTTAACTGCATCTCTGCTTACCTTCAATAATCTTATTAAAGTTCTGTTTCTTCTGCTTCTTTATTTTAAAAACCACAAATGAACGTTGCCCAGTGAAAGTCCATTAAAGCATAAATTAGTGATTAGATTATAAAGTGCACAATGAGGTAATTATTTAGTGAGTTATTGTTAATTAATATGAATAAACTTTCTGTGATACAGATTTCTTGACCTAGTTGGGTGAGGAGGACAGCGGCATTAAAACTAAATTATTTGCACCCTGACTGGTGTGGCTTAGTTTGTTGGGCATTGCTCTGCAAAGCAAAAGTCGCTGGTTTGATTCCTGGTCAGGACACATGCCTGGGTTGCAGGTTCAGTCCCCAGTTGGGATGCATAAGAGAGACAACTTATTGGTGTTTCTGATGTTTACATCAATGTTTCTCCCTTTGTCTCTCTCTCTCTCTCTCTCACTCTTTCTCTTAAGATTTTATTTATTTATTTTTAGAGAGAGGGGAAGCAAGGGAAAAAGAGAGGGAGGGAAATATCGATATATAAGAGAAACATTGATCCATTGCTTCTCTCCCATCCCCAACCACTGCAACCCACCATGCACCCTGAATGGCCATCGAATGGGAGAACTTTCGGTTTGCAAGAAAATGCCCAGCCCGCTGAGCACACCGGTCAGCTCCCTCCATCTTTTTCTCTCTCCCTTTCCCTCTCTCTAAATAAATAAAATCTTTTAAAAAATAAATTATTTGCAAAAATGCGTGTGTATTTCCTCTGGGAATGGTAAGGGCAAAAAGGAACGTGGAGGCACGAAGCTGTTTATCTTTTATGGTGGTGGAATTCTGGATAACATTTTTCTTGGCACTTTTGGACTTGAGTTATGGTTATTCTGATGTTTGCACAGTAGCGACGATACCCTTCACCTCTCTGAATGGTCTGCTCTTCAGAACTGCCCCTGTAGGGGGACTCATTTCACCAGGAGTGCTGCATGACTTACTGGTTAAAACCTGAGACTTTGAAGGAAGAAGCAACTGACTTCAAATGCTGGGCCTATCACTCATAAGCTGTGTGGTTTTGGGCAAGTGACTATTTTTAAGCCTCGGCTTCCTAACCTGTAAAGTGGAATTAATAAAACCTGCCTCACATACATGCCTCACCTACTACCTCATACGTAATAAAAACCTAATAAATGCTCGTTCTGCACTCTTTTTATGAAGTAATCAAAGAGTATAACACGGCTGTTAAGAGCAGAGGGTTTGGAGTCGTACACGCCTATGTTCAAAAACCACACACCACTCTTTACAAGTTGTGTGCCCTTGGGCAAATGGCTTAGCCTTCTAAGCCTTAGTTTCTTCATCTGTGAAAGGGGGATAATAATGGTACACTTCCTGGCACCAAGAAAATCATCAATAAATGGTAGCTGTTACTACTATTGTGTCCCCTCTTGCTGACTGAGGGCCTACAAGCCAACAAGGGGGTGAACATACTGCTGCAGGTGATGTTGGAGCCAGAGCACGAGTATGAGTATGTTTTGGTGTACGGATTGTCCAGGAGGAATTTGCAGCTGTCCAGCTTCTTGGCTTGGTCGTAGCAGCGGTCGTGTTTCTGGCAGCACCTGGGGAAGGGCAAGGACAGAGCTAAGGCAGGAGCAGGTGCCTGGGCAGCAGGTGAGCCTGCACCTGCTCTCTCAAAACAGGTGGGATTTTTTAGCTGACATGCTCCGGGAGATGCTGGTTCTGTGGCTTGAAATTTTTTCTTTTTATCATGTCTATGGAAGGAGATTTTAAAAATGGTTGCAGGAACACAGTCCGTTATGATGTTTTGTGTTGCAACATCCTGCCACTAGAGGGCAGCAGCATCCACTACTTCACATCAACGTTCCTCCTTCCATCTCCAATAGAGAGCGTTGGATTCAGAGTCCCCTTGGAACATATTTGTTTACATGACAAGAGGTGAAAATATGGTATCCTTAGAAAATAGGCAAACCCCCTTTCTGCGCCTCCTCGTGAGATCCTAGGCTCGTGCTCTCCTCCCCCGACCCCACCAGCACTCCACTGCAGATCAATCACTCACGCGTCCAGCTCATCCACGGGGGTACCGGATCCTCCCAAGCCACAGTAGCAGCCGTAGTTGTTGTAATCTTTCAAGGGGTTGCTTCTAGGAATCATGCACTTAATCATCTTGCGGAACTGCCACACTGCCCGCGGGCTGATGTCGCCCTCGGCGGTGACAACTACAAGAAGACATAGCCAGAGTTCAAGGTTGTCCTGGCAGGCTCTGCCAGCATCCCAGGAGCCCTGCGCTGCCTCCCTGACCGCTGCCAGTTGCCTCCTCAGGGGAGAGCTGGACACAGAAAGCTGGCAAAGTTACTATAGACTTTTAAAATGAAAACTTAAAAAAATATTTTTGACATCAAATTCACATAACAAAGAATTCACTATTTTAGCCACTTAACGTGTACAATTCAGTAGTTTTTAGTAAATTCACAGAGGTGTGCAGATATGACCACTAATTCCAGAACATTTTTATCACCCCCTACAAGAGCACCCTGTACCAATTAGTAAAAGCTCCTCTTTCCTCTCTCCCTTCTGGCAGACACTATTCTACGTTCTGTTTCTGCAGATTTGCCTGTTCTGAACACTTCATATAAACGGAACCACACCATATGTGACCTTTTGTGACTGGCTTCTTTCACTTGGCATCACATTTTTGAGGTTTATTGATGTTATAACATATATTAGTACTTTCTACATTTAACATTTTTTAAAATTTATTTTTTAGGGAGAGAGGAAGGGAGGAAGAAAGAAAGGGAGAGAAACATTGATGGGAAAGAGAAACATCCATCGGTTGCCTCTCAAACACGCCCCAACCAGGGAGAGACCGCAACCTAGGCAGGTGCCCTGACCAGGAGTCGAATCAGCGACCTTGCTCTTCATGGGATGACACCCCACCAACTGAGCCACCAGTATTATCTCTTTGCCCCCTGCCTTGCCCTTTCTTTCTTTGGTCTGCTCTGACCCTGGAGCCTCTCCATGTGCTTAAACTCCGGGGCAAAGGAGAGGCAGCAGCCGGTCCCTGGCCCTTACAAGCCGTGTCCAGAGTAGAGGCCTGGGTGGCTGGCTACCTCGGCCCATCTCCAGGCCCCACTCCTGCTTCCATGTTCTCTCTCTCTAATCCCACCAGCTCTGTCTTAGCAGAGGCCGGACCTGCCTGAAGCTGCTGTGCATGCGCGCCTCAGAGAGGGAGCATGGCTCATCCATCTCAGTCCTCAGTCTCGAGCCAGAGTTGGACACCTCGGTGGCTCTGATACCATTGAAGTTGAATGAATGAATGAATGAATGGCGGATGTATGAAGGGAGATTTGAATTCCAATGTATCGAATTCCATTTATTCAATCAACGGTGCAAACTGCACTATCTCTGTTATGAAGCCCATGTGGGTCGGGGCGGAGCAGGGTAAAAAAAAAAGAATCAACAAGATACAAATTGCAAGTAAAGATGGGTGGTGGGTAAGCCTTGTACCAAGGCAATATGGTAGAGAGAAAGAGAGGGGGCTCTCTTAGCCCGGATGGACAGGGTGGACCTTCTTGAGAGGTGTCATCTGAGCTCCAACCTGAAGATTAAAACTGGGATGGGAAGAAGATTTGAGGAAATCCCAGTGTGGGAGCTCTTAAGCCCCACAGGAAGCCCTGAATAAAGACTCCAGGTCTGGCCAGCCCTGTGCCCTGTGGCCCCTATTCCAGAGGAGTGAGCTCTTAGCCCGAGAAGCAGATGAGGCTGGAAAGACTTGCCTACCTGTGAGCAGAGCAGCCAACACAAGGAGTTTCATTCTGTTCTGAAGTTGATGAGAGTGAGAAAGGACTGATGCCACCTAAGGCCTCCCTGCTTATAGTCACCGTGAGGCCCCAAGATAAGGCTGTAGTGTTTGCCTTTCTCCCTGCTGACTTCACATTGTCCTTGAGTCTGTCTGTTTTGGGTGACTGACAAGTAAGCCCTGCCAGCAAGAGGTCATGGAAGTACTGTAGGTAATTAGTCATCAGCACTTCTTAGCGAAAGGGGCTACTTCTGAAGTCGCACATCTTGGAATCTTGACCTTCATACCCACTCCTTGGCACTCAGCCCAGTTTCATTGTTGGGGGTGTGTATGGCAAAGCCATCAACCCCTTTGAACAACTGGGAGAAGGGGTACTGGGGTGAAATGATCCCTCCTCCATGTCTTCCCATGTGCCTGGATCTGAGCTGTGGGTCTCATTGAATGGTGCCATCAATCATCCGCTTTGCGGGCAAGGAAACAGATTCGGAGAGGTGTAGTAACTTGCTCCAGGTCACCCAGTTAGCAGATGGCAGAGGAGGGGTTCAAACTCAGGCATGTCTGATTCTAAGGCACACGTTATATTTTTTTCCCCCCACTGTACCGGTACCAGTCCCGCCCCCATTCTCTGCTGTGGGTTTGTAAGAAAACCCCCAAAGAAAAACCCCAAAAGACTTGTAGAGTAAAAAAGTACTTTAGAACTGTCATATCCAATGCCTATATAAATTTTTTGGGGTGAAATTCACAAAGCATAAAATTAACCATTTTATTTTTAAAGTGAACAATTCAGTGGCATACAGTGCCTTCACAGTGTGGAGCAACCACCATCTCTCTCTAGTTCCAGAACATTCTCCTCCTCCCCAAAGGAAACCCGGTACCCATTAGCAGTTACTCTCTCTCAACCCCAGGCAACTACAATCTGTTTTTTGTCTCTGTAGATTTACTTGTTCTGGATATTTCACATAATATGTAACATTTTATAATTGGATTATTCTGTTTTCCCATTGAGTTCCCATGTGACCTCTGTGGCAACCCTGTGGTTTTATTTATTCATTCATTTACTTATTTTTCTTGAGCAGAATTCCCACATACCCTCCGACCCACCCTACCGCATCTTCTCTCATAGTTGCGCCTGTTATTAATATATTAGTACGGTACATCTGCCATGATTAACGAACCATTATTGATATATTATTATTATTATTATCATAGTATTAATACATTCAAACCCATAGCTTATTTATATTTCCTTAGTTTTTTACCAAATGCCCTTTTTCTGTTCCACTGTCTAACCCAAAATAGCACAATACCTTAAGCTGCCACGTCTCCTGAGGCCCGTGTTGGCTGCGGCAGTTCCTCAGATGCCCGCCCCCCGCCCCCGCCCCCGCCGTTGATGATCTTGACAGTCTGAGGGCTACTGGTCAGGTGTATCAGAGGGGGCGTCTCTATTGGAAGGTGTCTGATGTTTGACTTGCGATTCACCGGGGGGGAGGAGATATCTGTTTGGCGGAGGAAGATCACAGAGGCAAAGTGCCATTTTCATGACATGCCCCTGTTGTGTTGAATCATCTCTTATCCTGGATGTACCTCGGCCACTTTCCAGGTGAGGACACCGGGGCTCAGCCTAAGGTGGAGCAGGAAGTGGCAGGCCATGCTCAGACTGAACCTCCCCTGCCACCTCCCACTGAACCCTTTCCCTCCAGCCTGGGCACGGTTCTGTTGTGCGTGAGTCGGCGCAGATTCAACGGCCTCGTCCTAACCCCAGGGCCTCTGCTCATGCCCCACAGGATTCCATCTCTCTGCACTTTTCCCTTGAACGTGAACCAGGGCCGAGAAAGAAGAAATCCAGCTGGAAGGGCTTCCCTGTCTCATCTTGAGTCCAGGAGTCCCAGGAAAGTTCCTTCAGCTCATGAGACAACACCAAACAGCATTTAGTAAGCAGGTGGGGAAACTGAAGCCCAGGAAAGGGAAGCGATTGATTTTCTTGGGCCCGATTCATCAGTTTCTACATCTCTCCAATACGGTAGCCATCAGACACAAGTGGCTATTTAAATTCACTGCAATTAAATAATATTAAAATCAGTTTCTCAGTTACACGAGCCGCATTTCAAGCGTTCAAGAGCGACACGTATGCGGCTATCAGCTGTTGTATTGGACAGTGCAGATATAGACGGTTTTCATCATCACAGACAGTCCTATGGGACAGAGAGCCGTTGAGGATGTCTCAGAGCCTGTCTCAGTGCCAGACCAGAGACAGAAGGGGCTGTGAGAATTACTGGAGGGAGAGCAGGGTTAGCTCAGATCCCCCATCAGCCTGATGAACAGTTCTGCCTCCGTAGTCTCCAGCATGAGTGGACGCTGCTTAAGGAAAGGGAAGGGATGGCCAGCAAAGTGCTAAGGCCCACTTGTGTGGGTTCTTTGGGATCAGGATGAAACAGAGGAACAGACACTATTCCTGTCGAAGGTGGTCTGAGAAAGGAGGTGTAGCTGGTGCTGCAAAATCCCCTAAGGCTGATCGTAGTAACTGCCATTTCACCCGAGCGCTAACTCTATTCCAGGTCCCATGCTAGGAAACTGGCACAAAACTCTAAGGTAGGTCCAGCTACAAACTCCACTTTACAGTGAATACAACTGAAGCTCAGAAAGGTTAAGAAACTGCCCCGAAGTCACACAGCAGGACCAAGGTGTCAATTGGATCTGGTGCTTATACTACAGTATCACCTCATGATGGAATCGTAGTAGTGGGTGGGAGTGTGGGAAGCCCCTGGAGGCCAGAGGGAGGTTTACCTACTTCTCTCCTTCTCTCCCCTCACACCCCTCCCCCTGCCAGCCAGGTGGAGGCTTTCCGCAAAGGCAGTCTGCGGGAATTCCCATGTGCAATTCCTGCTGGGACTTAAGCAGAGCACCTGGTGGGGGAGGGTCAGGCTGCTACTAGAACCTTCTCTTCCTGGAGAGAGACCTGTTAAACGAGATAATCCAAACCTCTGCAGGGGACACAGAAGTGGCAGAGGAATGGACTTGGCAGGTCACTGCGGAACCCACCAAGCCCTTAGGCTCTTTGTATCATGACCTTTGCTGCCCCAGGTCCATGCACAGGTGTGTACAGCACAGCTTCTCCCAGCTTGGGAAAAACACACTCTTCAGTGGAAAGAACAGCTAAGGATAGCTTCCTGCCTCCTTCAGGTGACAGCATACCCACACTCCAGCAAGGTCACACTGACCCAGTCCCTAGAAGACAAGCCTCCTGCTTCCAGGAAACGTTTCAGAGCAGCTACCATTTGGTGAGTGCTTCTGTATGCCTGGCACTGTGCTAAGGACTTTATATATAGTTTTTCACCCTAACCACAATCTTCTGGCATAGCTATTATGATTTCTTCTTCTTCCCCTTTTTACGGATAATAAAACAGGTTCAGAGAGTTTAAGTAACTTGCTTAAAGTCACACAGCTTGAAAGATAGGATTTGAACCTGTGTGTACCTACTATACTTAGTCCAGGGCTGCTAATAATAATATCAATAATAATAGCAGCAACAGCAGTAGCAAATATCCCTGAGTGCTGTGCCAAGGAAGATACTAAGAGCTTTACACAGGTTAGCCTACGATCAAGTGCTGTTCCACTGGCCAGTACATCAAAGTACCTGCCAGAGGTGTCCAGCCCACGGCCTGCGGGCCGCATGTGGCCCAGGATGGCTATAAATGAGGCCCAACACAAAACTGTAAATTTACTTAAAGCCTTTGTTTTTCTCATCAGTTTTCGTTAGTGTCTGTATTTAATGTGTGACCCAAGACAACTCTTCTGTCTTCCAGTGTGGCCCAGAGACGCCAAAAATTTAGATACCCCTGAACCTTTTCCACACCTAAGCCACCATCCTCAGCATTTAGATTTTTATGACAGCCTTCTAACTTTTCTAGCAGCATCCATTCTCTACCTCCCTTATGCATCTGGAGAAGGAGTTCTTTAAATATTCTGGATACTAACCTCACTTTGGATACATGGTTTGCAAATATTCTCTCCCATTCTGTAGGTTGCCTTTCACTTTGTTGTGTCCTTTGATACACAAAACTTTTTACGTTTGACGTGGTCCCACATGTCTATTTTTGCTTTTGTTGCCTGTGCTTTTTGATGTCATTTTCAAGAAATTATTGCCCACGCCAGTGCCATGAAGCTTTCCTCATTTTCTTCTAAGAATTTTATAGCTTCAGGTCCTCCATTTAGGTCAATTCACTTTGAGCTAATTTTTGCAGATGGTGTAAGATAAAGGTTCAACTTCATTCTTTTGCATATAGATATCAAGTTCTCTGGATTCCATTGGTTGGAAACTACCCTTTCCACACGAATGCCCTTGGCACCCTTGCCTGAGATCATTTGCCCACATTAGTGTTTATTGCTGGGTTCTCTATTGCATTCCACCGGCTTGTCTGTCTTTATGCCAGTGCCTCACTATTTTGATTACTATAGCTTTTATAATATATTTTGAAATCAGAAAGTGTAAACCCACCAACTTTTTCAAAATTGCTTGGTCTATGTGGGGTCCCTTGAGATTCCCTATGAATTTTAAATGCCATCGGGGCTTTGACAGGTATTGCACTGAACCTTCAGATGGCTTTGGGTAGTATGGACATCTTGACAACACTAAGTCTTCTGATCATGCACACAGGATGTCTTTCTACGTATTTGTATCTTCTTTAACTTCTTTCAGCTTTATTTTGTAGTTTTCACTGTACAAGACTTTCACTTCCTGAAGTTTATTCTTAAGTTTTGATACTATTGTAATATTATTATTTTCTCAATTTTCTTTTCCAATTGTCCACTGTTAATGTGTAGAAACATGATCGATTTTGTGTGATTTTGTATTCTGCAACTTTGCTGTATTCTCTTATTAGTTCTAACAGGTTTTGAGAGTTTTTTACATATAAGATCATGTTATCTGCAAAGATAATTTTACTTCTTCCTTTCCAATTTGGATGGCCTTTATTTCTTTTTTAGATTTTATTTATTTTTAGACAGAGGGCAAGAGAGAAAGACAGGGAGAGAAACATCAATGTGTGGTTGCCTCTCACACATCCTCCACTATAGACTGGCCTGCAACCCAGTAATGTGCCCTGACAGGGAATTGAACCAGTGACCTCTTGGTTCACAGGCCAGCGCTCAATCCACTGAGACACACCAGCCAGGCCATGGATGGCTTTTATTTCTTTTTCTCACATAATCGTTCTGGGTACAACTTCCAATGCTATGTTGAATAGAAGTGGCCAGACAGGTCATCCTTGCCTTGCTGCTGATCTGAGAGAAAAGCTTTTGTTAGAAACTTAGAAACAAAACAGAAACAAAAAACTACAATGCTACAATCACATTTAACAAAAATAAGGCAATTTTCAAAGGCCTTTGTCCCAAAATTTGTTTTTTATAATTTTTCCAAAATCATATCCAAATAAGCTACATTTTCTTACTTGTGAATCAAATATCAATCCAGGGGGAAAATAAAGGGAAGGGAAGGGAAAGCAGGGTGTCACTGGGGTCCCTAGATCTGAATGCACACAGACACCAAACATGCCCAAGCTGAGCACCGTTTTCAAATAATTTATTAGGAATTTAAAACTGAAAATAAAACCTGGAAAAAGAAGTTACAGATGTGGAGAGAAGAGACACCGGAGGGTGGTAACTTGCTGGCTTCAAAACACCATGTAACATCTTTTTAAAAAAAAATTCCCCAAACAAATCAGAAAACGGAATTTCAAGGCCCTGAGCCCATGGGTAGGCCCAGTGGGGTGGGGGTAGGGAATCACAGGAAGGGAGTAGGGGGAAGCTAAGTCTCTCTTGACTCAGCTCAAATGTGTAGAAAATTAAAAATAAAAACCAATAAAATGCAGCTTCTCTTTTATTAGGAAACATTAAAAAAAAAAAAAAAAAAAAAACCCAAACACGAACAGCCGCGCATCTCAGTAACAAAGATTATTGCTTTGTGTTCTCAGGGCTAATAGGTTAAGCACCTCACACAGACAATTAACTCTCCAAAGGGGGTTTTAAAAGAATGGGGACTGGGACTGTGATAGGGAAGGGAGCTTAGGTCCCCAGCCTCAGACCTGGGGGGAGAGGGACAGAGAGGAGGTGACAGGTGGGCCTCGGCCCTGCCACACCAGCCAGGTCACTCGCTGTTCAGGAAGTCAGACCCTGAGCCTCTTTTTCCTTTGAAGGGGCCTCAGAGGTCAGGGGCTGCCAAGGGGCTCTGGCCGTGGGGCCATCCTGGTGGGATACTTCAGTGAGAGAATGTGGGGGTTCCCTGAGAAGCCCTTTGCTTTCCCCTGGGGTCCGCCCCTTCCCAAGTGCCCCCTGATGCCCACGCATGGGGGGGAGGGGCTCAGAGCAGAACCATGGAGGCCTGACTAGGTAGGGGGCAGGGGGAGACCTTTGGAGAGTTAATTCCTTTCCAGCAGCGGCTCCGGGCGAGCCCTTCTCTTCCCTCGCCCCTTGCCCCTACACTGGGTTTTTGGGGTGAGCAGGCCCAAGGCCTTGACCCCTAGGGCCTGAGAGAGCGGGCCTGCCTTGGCCACAGACGAGGCCTGCAAGCTTACAGTAACGGTGTCTGAGGAGGGGACAGAAACGGCGGGAAGGAGACCTTTGCCTGCTGGGGACAGGCGACACCTTCACCCCCAAGGGGCCTTAGAGAGGGTGGAGGCTTCACCTCACAGTATTTACATATGATACAGGACGGGACGGTTCCAGGGGCTCGGCCTGGGCCACGCAGCCCTGTCCTCCTCTCCAGGGCCGGAGGGAGGTGGCCAGGGGCCCACACCCACATAGACATTTTGTTCTCAGCTGGTGGGGGGGGGGGCACCTGGCCCCTTGCCCCCTGTGGCCTGGGGCTTCACATTCACAAACCTAGAAATAGCTTTAAAAAGTTTCTTAAAAAAAAAAAAAAAAGGGAAAGAGAAAAGGAGGGGAAATCAGAGTAAAAAACCCAGGTTCGGGCTGCAGCCCGTAGCAGGCCCCCTCCGCCCTCACTCTAGCTATGCACAAAGACAAAAGCCTTCTGGGGTGGGTCCTATGGGGCGCGGCAGAGAGGAGGGGCGCAGGCCCGGAGAGGGAAGGACGGGGGAGCAGGGCGGGGGCAACTGGCTAATCCAAAATAAATAAAAGCGGGCAGGTCGGGGAGGGGGCCGGGGCGGAAAAGGGGGGAGATTAGTAGGGGAGCCAGACGTTGTCCAGGGGCAGCAGGGCAGGGGCCGGGGCCCCGGAAGTGGGGGCGGGCAGTAGCGGTCCGAGTCGCTGCGGGGGAAGGGGCGGCGGCTGCGGCTGAGGTGTCCCCGCCCCCTCGCTGGCTCACTTGTGGTCCTCAGTCAGCTGCAGGCTGGGGCGCTGCAACACAGCAGGAGGTCGTGGGTGCCCCGGAGGCGTCCGGTCCCCTAACCCTCTGCCCCCCCCCCCCCCCCACTCCTTGGGACCCCCAGAACACAGGTGTCCTCCGGATATAGGCCTCTTTCCCTCATCTCCTCCTAGGTGAGCTTTGTTCTTATGCTTCGCACTTTCGGTTCCCAGTTTGAAAAGCTCTTTCCCTAGATTTTAAATGACTGGATTTATTCAAATGGCACCTTCTCAGGGACGCCTTCTCCGACCACCACCCCCCGCCCCGAGGTAGGCCCCTCACGCACAATTTACAATGACCTCACTTGATCTTTGTCTGTAGAATGAACGAGGAACTTTTGTCTTATACATCCCCCTTTCCTGGAATACTGCTCAACAAATAGTTGTTCGAATGAATGAATAAAAAAACGAAAGGTCCCTGGGGTCACAGGGTACCCCACTGTCTGGCTCTACACTGTGTGATGACTATGTGTACAGGGTCCGCCTCTCTGTGTGTATGTATGCGTGTCCACACTATTCTGCTTTAACAGCCATGTAATATTCCATTATATGCATACACTCTCTTAATAAATGTCTAGAAGGGGAATCATTGGGTCAAGGGGGTGAATGTTGAAAATCTGGATAAACGCTGCCCAGCTGGCATTTGGAAACCCTGAGCCTATCTCCTACACTCTTACCAATGCCGGGTGTTAGCAACCTTTAAAAATTTTTTGCCCGAGAGGCAGAACATGCTGCCTTAGTGTTTTCATTTACAGTGTTGTTTGTTTGGTGCATGCAGTAGGTTGAGCACCTTTCATATTCATTGACCATTGCTGGTGTGAGTGTCTGTCCCCTCCCTGAACAGTGGGTTCCGCGAAGGCAGGGGCAGGTTCTGTGTCCCAGACTGGGCTCCCAGTAGCAGCCTCCCCAGGGTCATCCCCACCCCAAGGCCCGCCTCCTCACCTCCTGCCACCTGTCTCCTGCTTCAGTGGTACCCATTGGTGAAAGCTGTGGCAATCAAGGGGCCCTGGGAAGGAAAGAATTGACTCTTAGCTTCCGGGGGGAAGCAGAGAAAGCCCGGGGGCTCCTTTTCTCCTGTGGGAAACCTGGGGCGAGGCACGGACCCTTCTCTGGTCCTGTCCTTACGACTCCCACTGTGGACCCACTGTGAGATTCTCCAGGGCAGGGCTGGGGACCTGCCTATCACCAGCACCCTTGTTAAAATTAGGACCCCCCTCCCCGAACTAGAATCCAGCTTCCGTGGGAACAGAGATGGTGGGCCTCATTTGCACAATACCCCCAGAGCCCACCTAGTGCCCAGCACATGGAGGACAATCATGACATGCCCACTCAGTGAATGAGGACCCCTGTCCTCCCCCTTGGTGACACTCTCCATTCATTGCCCCTTGCTTCCCCCTGTCCTTCAGACAGAGAAGGCCTTTCCTTCCTCCAACTTCGGGGGTCCTCCAGGACCGGCCACTCACCCCAAGACTGTGGCCAAAGCCGGTGCTGGGGGCGGGGCTGGCAGCGCTGATGTAACTGCTGACCCCCGAGTCCTGGTTGGCTGCCCCATAGAGCTCAGCCATGGGACCGGGGCTGGTGGTCCCCAGGAAGCCCCCTGTGCGGCTGGGAGTCGAACCTGGAGGGGGAGCCATCGTCCAGGGGTGAGAGCCTGGCAACCCAGAAAGAAGACGGTGATAACCCTGGAGCCTTCAAAGCTGTCCTGCCCACCCTGACCTTCACGCCGCCCTCGCCCTCATCCCGTCAGGGCCTGGGGGCCCGCCTCCAAGTCCATCCACCCCACCAGCCCGAGCCCTGGCCCAGGCCCCCGCTATCTCCTGTCTGACCACTGAGCAGCCTCTTTGCTGATCTCCAGGCCCCGCTCCTGAGTCCCTTTAAACCCTACCCCACCCTGCACCTGTCTGCCATTTTCTAAAATCCACGTCCCTCCACCGCTTAAAGTGTTTGGTGTCTCCTCAGGACCTGCTGCCACCTCCTCCTTCTCCCCACACCTCACTCCTGCACTCCACCCATGTGAACTGGCTGCCAAGCCTTTGCACATGCGATTCCCTCTGCTAGAAATGCTTTTCCTTGGCTTTCAAATTGAAAGTGAAGTCCTCCCGGTTGCCTTCCCCAGAGGCCTGTAAGCTCTGCTGGGGATCCCCTGGTACCTGACTTCCCCCAGGGGAGCTGTATCATCCTCCAGGATTATTGCCTTTTTAATGCTCGATGCCCCCTCCAGCCTTTAAGCTCTGGAGGGCGGAGACTACGCCAGTCTCCTTCCTGGCTGGCTCACCAGGTGCTCGGTTTACACTTATTGAGCGAATGAATCGGAAGTCCCGCTGACAAGGGGTGGTGGTGGCTACCTCCTCTCCCCAATAAACTTCTCTGCACCCTCTTCCTCACTTCCTACACCCAGAAGGCCTCACCTGTCCCTCGAACCACAGCTGCCGCTGCTGCCGCTGCTGCCATTGGTCCGTAAGCGGTGAGAGGAATGGCTGAAATGAAAGGTATGGGCACGTCAGCAGGGCAGGTAAGGGGGCAGAGGTGGATGACAGAGGCTCTCTGAGCAGGGCCTTACCCCACCGCAGAGCGGTCAGTGCAGCCCCAGGGCCAAGGCAGAAAGAACTCTCAGGCCGCCATCCATGCCCTGACCCGTGGAAGGAAAGGAGACCGGTAGGAGAGAGAATGGCTGCCCAGCGCTTGGCTCAGTCTGTTTCCCCCTGGACTCACGGGACACACCTGAACAACCCAAACTCATGGAGGGGAGGGTGGGGCCTCTCGCCCTGAGCTGCTCTGAGCATTGCCCGCAGCTGCCTCCTGCTCAGCAGCAGCCACCCAGCCCAGGGGTACCGAGAGGTCACGTCCTTCTTCCCAACCCCAGTCGACTGGAGTTAGTGACTGACATGGGTCCAAAAAGCCCCCAAGGTGCTTTGTCCCAAGGCAACCGACTCTGGGGTGCAGTTAGGCTCCAGAGCTCCTTGAGGGATCTGGCGGAAGCCAGGCGGTGGCCGGGGCCACAGTTCTGCTTTCCTCCTTCTGCTGCCTGGTCTGCTTCCCTCGCTCCCTTTCTCCTGAGAGCATGTCCTCAATGAACTGTGCACCCAGGGCCCTGCCTCAGCGGCACCCCGCTGACCACCGGCCAGCCAGAGGTGACCACTCCCTCTCCCAAATCTCCTCAGCCCCCTTTCTCTGATCCCCTCTTTAGGCACAGGGATCTTGCTATTCCCTTGTTTGCTTTCTACCTCCACCCCCACCCCCACAGCGCCTAGCTTCCTGCCTGGTACACTATAGGTGATTAGTAAACGGCCCCTGAACTAAAAGAAGGAATCCTCTGCTTAAATAACGGGTTGGCTTGAGCCTGGGGCTGGGGGGCTGAGTGCCCCCTACTGTTTGGCTCTGCCACTGCATCTCCTGAGAGGCTATAGCTCAGCCCAGAACCAGGGTCTGCAGAGTTGGCATTAGCCCTCAGGAACATCGGCCTCCCATCCCTAGTCGTGGCCCTTGGGGCTGTTTGAGTCACCCTGACCCTGAACTGGACCTGCACTAAGGATACCAGAAAAGGCCCTGAATATCCATGGCATGGCCACTAGGCTGAAGATTAACATCTAGAGCAGAGGACAGAGCAGCTCCTGCACAGTAGAGCTTTGCTGAAGAGCTTCATACATCTGGCTTCTTCTCACTCAGATGCCACCTCCTCTGAGAAGCCTTCCCCGACCACTCTCATTAAGGCATTTCCCTGCCTCCAACTCCAGCGCCGCACCACATCTCTGTTTTATTTTCCTCCTGAAATTTCTCACCCTCTGAAAGTATCTTGTTTACTTGTTTACTGCTCTCTCCCTCCACTAGAATATCAGCTCTAGGAGAGCAGGGACCTTCTCTGTCTCACTCACTGCTGTATCTCTACTGCTTGGAATGGCATCCGATCTCATACGTAACTATTAAACAAGTAAGAGAAACACCCACATCTCCTGAAGGCAAGGGAAAAGTTCGGACCCTTGGTCTCCGGGATAGAGCTCCCTGCCACGACCTCAGCAGGGGGAACATTTCTTTCCTCCATTCTCTAAAGGCAGGGGCTGGATGCTGAGGTCTGCTTTTAGGCACCTTGAGGCATTTCCACAAAGCAAAGCCAGTGTCCAAGCAAGTGCCTATTACAACTGTAAAGGATTACTCATTTCTATAGTAAGTATTTGTTTCCCTCCCTAGCCTGCAAGTTCTGTTGACAGCATGGCCTGGCAGTGTCCCACACAGCAGGTCCTCAACACAGAGTTCTCCAATGAGCAGTAAAGACCCCCAGGCTGTCTCCCCCATTGCTGGTCAAACCCCCACTCTACTCAGGGAAAAGCCTCTATCACCCGCCCCCCAGGGCTCTCTGCTCCATCCCCTTTCTTTACCCCATTTTTCTCTTCCCCCTTCTCTACTTTGAGGGAGCCCTGAGCACCCCTTGGAAGGAAGGTCTCACTTAAAGCAGCATCCATCCTCCACGCACGGCCAGGTTGGGGGGAAGAGTCTGGGGATGGGGTAGGGGAGAAGCAGGTTGAACAGAGAAACCCCTTGCAGCCCACCTCATCTGTACACGCCTTTCCCCTCCCCGTGGCCTTGGCCCCAGCCCACAGCTGAGCTGACTGGCCCGAGTGAAAGCTCCAGTTTGAGAAATGACTTCAGTGGCTAAGCACCCTCATCGCACTTGCCCAGAAGTCCCAAATGGGCGGCCAGAGAGCTGGATTCGGCCCTCAAATAGGTCTCATTTAGCTCGCAGTGGTTTAAAACCTTGGAGTTTGTTGCCAACATTTGAAAATAACTGGAAAATTCATTTGAAAACAAAAGCCGGGTTTCTGGCATCTCTTGGAAAATGAGATCTGAACATACTGGGTTTGCACCCCCTCCTGGCAAGGGTCAGGCCTGGCATGGGGCCGGCACGCCCACTCCAGTTTGCCGATGTCCCCACCTGGCCCCCTTGCTTTGAGTTTGAGGCCCGGGCTTCTTCACCACTGGGTCCCAGAGCCTACATGGTGCGTGGCACATGGGAGGCGCTAGATAAATATTTGCCAAATGGATGAATGAGTGGCTTTGCCTCCATCTGCCCGGCTTGGCCCTATGCCCCACCCTCAGGGCCATGTTGCTCCAGACTGGCCAGTGCCCAGGCGGAGTCTGCTGTATCCCCACAGCTGGAGGGCTGGTGGGCAGGGGAAAAGGGTCCCACTAACTCTCCCCCGGGGAAGGTCCCTGAGTCCTTTCTTTCTCCCCATGTGGCCTGCGAGGTGTATGAAATCCGAGCGACTGACCTGTAAGCTCGGGGAGGACTGGGGCGCTCGGGAGAGGGGTCCGCTCTACACGGAATTCTAAAATGAAACGTAAAACAGCTTAGGAAGATACAGGGGGGGGCCCTCAGGCATGGCCCAGGGAGGACAAATGCACCCACAGGGACACTGGGTAGGGGGACAGGCCATGCACAGGAGCCAAGAGCTGGGGATGGGGAGAGCATGGTCCCCAGCAGGCAAGGGTAGGGGAGAAGATGCAGAAACATAGAGACAGAAAGAGCAAGCAGAGTTGCCACCTATACCCTGGGCACGGGCAAAGCTGGAGCTAGCATTCCTGCTGTTTCTTAGAAGGCTTGAGATTGCACCAAAACATCTCCCAGAATCCTCCTCTTCTATTTTTTTGCGGGGGGAAGGAGGAGCTTTGGTGAAAAATGATGACCCTAGAGCAGGTCAGGCTCGGGCTGGGTTCCCAGCTCCAGCACTTTCTAGTTGAGTCATTTTAGCAAGTCACTTCTCCCCAGTGAGCCCGCTTCCTCACCTACAAACTGGGGTCAGCAGCCCTCCCCCATGAGATTGTTGTCAGGATTGGACAACATAATGTGCACACAGGATTCCACGCTGGGCAGCCCGAGAGGCAAGTGATGCACGTGCTTAGGGACCCTCTAAAAAATAAGATCAAAAAAAAAAAAAAAAAAAAAAAGGAAGAAGGCGGCTTGCAAAAAATTTGATATTTGATATTTCAAGGAAAACAACATGAATAGTCATCACGGGAGAGTTCAGAACTTTGTTGGGCTCCCTGCCACTTACTTGAAGGCGTAGTGTTATTTTAATTTTGAATTACAAATGAGAGTGGTGATCGGCATGCTTTTAAATTGTTTTTCAGTATTTGGGGTCTCATGGGGTCCTGCCAGCCTTGAAAGGCTCAGTGTGGCACATGGTCACTATATGTGTGTCCAGAAAGACACAACCAATGCGCCCTCCATCACAAGCCCAGTGCCCTCTTTGGTGGAAGTGGCAACCCTGGAGTGGGGTGGGGACAGAAAGGCAGGGCAGAGAGGTCCGCCTGGGAGAGACCGGTGCCATGCGGGGCCACGCCGGAGCTCCTGCCCCCAGCTTCTGGGGAGGGGTGAAGAGAGAATGGGTGGGGAGAGGCGCTCCTTCCTCAGACATGCCCTTCCTTCCAAGCCTCCAGCAGGCAGACCCCCACCCCCGCCTCAGCCATGCACCCCCAGACACCACCCTGAGGAGTCAGGCTGCCTGGGAACCCGGGACATGGTGGCAGCAGAGAGACAGCGAGCAGGACTTACCGGGGAACTGGTAGGTGTAGCCAGGGGCAAGGCCTGTGTAACTCCGGCTGGCATAGGTAGTGGCTTGGAAACCGGGGTAACCTGGCGGGGCAAGGGGGCTGAAGTCAGATGCCGCACCTATGGCTCGGACCCTGATCAGCAGGAAACCCTGAGCTACTCATTTCCCTCCCCGCCTCGTCTCACGAGTAGCCATTAGTCACATGTACCAAACACCTCCCATGTGTACTATTAAAAGACCTATTTTACAGATCAGAAAACTGCAGCTCAGAGAGGTGACACTTATTGGCTAAAAATAACCCAAACCCTTGCCAAGGCTCTTCATGCGCTGGCTCCGGCCTCCGTCCCATCCTCATCTATACTCAGCCCCCGGGCACTCTGCTCCAGCCACGCCAACCTCCCTGCCGTTTCTCCAGTTCATCAAGCTCCTTTCCACCTCAGGGCCTTTGTGTACGCTGTTCCCTCTGCCTGGAACACTTGGCCCCCAGGTTTTCACATGACTGGGTCCTTCTTTTATTGTTTTTAAATATATGTTTTTTTAGTCTTCACCACAGGACATTTTTTAACTGCTTTTAGTGGGGTGGGGTGAGGAGAGGAAGGGAGAGAGAAACACCGAGGCAAGGGAGAAGCACCGACTGGTTGCCTCCCGTACGCACCCGCTGGGACACAGGATCACATGCGTGTCCAGACCTGGGATCATATGCATTTGGACTGGGAATTGGACCTACAACCTAGGCATGTGCTCCAGCTGGGAATCGAACCCACAGCCTTTTAGTTATGGGATGATTCTCCAGCCGAGCCATACCACCCAGGGCATGACAGAGGCTTTTTCACTGTGCAAGCCTCAGCTCAAATGCCACCTCCTCAGAGAGGTCATCTCACCGGAGTCCACCCATTAGTTACAATACTTATCGCATCACCCCGGTTTCTCCCTCTCATGGCCCCGAGGGTCATTCTCTGAACTTATGTCAGGATTTTTTTAAGTGCTGATTTTCTGTTTTCCCCATCTTTTATTTCTGTATCTTCAGCACCGGCATGGTGCCTGTGACTGAGTATACATCTGATAAGTATTTACAACTGTGAAATAAAAATTGTATAGTGGGTAAAATCGGTGTAAATGGGATTCAAATTCAGATCTGACTGGCTCCACGTTGCTTAACTGCCATTCTCCCAGTTAAAGGCTTTCTCTTTTTTTTCACTCTTTAAATGGGGGTGACAAATGAATCACCTTGAAAGAAAACTTCTTCAATGCTCCAGATCAAAGAAGACTATGGAGGCAGGGCACCTAAATGCAAGACCGATTCTAGCCTGGATCTTGTTCTAGGGGGTAAAGATGCGCTATAAAGAACATTACTGGGTCAACTGATAAATTCAGAAATAGATTAGTTTAAAATATTATATCAATATAAATATATAAAGTTGACAATTATCATGTTGTTTCATGAAAAAAATATCCCTAATCTTAGGAGATGCCATAATGCATGTAATTTCCCCTCCAATGATTCAGGGAAAAATCACAAGTGTATCGTATGTTATGTACATATGTATATGTAATATATATATACAGGAAGAGAATATATTAAAGCAAGTGAAGTATAATGTTAACAGCAGGTGAACCTGCTAAGGGGTATATGGATTTTCTGTGTGCTACTGTATTTTTTCAACTCTTCTACAAGTTTGAAATTACTCCCAAATAAAAAGTCCAGAAACCCCCCAAAACTTCAAGAGAAGATCTTGAGCCACTTGGAGAATGCTGTCCTCATCCACCCTATCTGCGATCCCAATCCTGACCCTCTAGCCTACACTATGCCCCCCTCCTCTGAATTCCCAGAGCGCCCCTCCCCCACCCCCAGCATAAAGACCCCCTTAAACTAACTAGTTCTCTCTCTCTCTCTCTCTGCACATCTTGTCTCTACAGGGAGACTGAGAGCTTCCTGGGGCCCAGCTCACATTTCCCATCCTCAGTTGCAGGCCCCAAGTGTTGCTGATCCTGCTCAACTTCCAAGGCTTGTGGCAGCCGTCACCTCTTCCAGGGGGCCTGCCCGGCACCCAGCTGGGTTTAGGTTCCTCCTTGGGGCTCCCACAGCCTCCAGTCCCTCTGTGGTGACATTGACAATTTGCCCTTGTCTCCCACTGGATGGGGAACCCCAGGAGCCTCTCAGAGGCTGCTCAATCAGTGTTAGTTGCATGGACAAGCAGCAGCCTTCTTTTTGCTTCCATATACCTTTCTGCCTTTGGGTTTTTGTAAATGCTGTTCCCTCTGCCTGATACACTTTTCCCTTTCTTCTTCCCCTGACTTTCCATAACTAACTAGCTCCTACTCAATCCACACACTCAGCTTAAATGTATCGTCTTTTCTTGCTTCTTCAAGTCTTGGTCAAGTTCCCTATGACCCCATGCTCCCTTGGCACCTTGCACTTTTCCATCCTAAACCTATTTATGTTCTTAATTATTTGTTTTCCCTGCCAGACCGTAAAGGCCCAAGGAGAGTCACTGTTGTACTTCTTGGCACAGTGCCTGGTCTTTATAGTTGCTCAATAACTATTTACTGGATGGATGAATGGATGGACGGACAGGACCAATTAATGAGTAGGGGGACTATTCTTCTGGCAACCGCCAGAGGGCAGTACCCCACAACAAAACTGCCCTACCTTTGGTAGGCCTGCCAGACCTGAGATCCTAGGTCCCCACTCCCACCCAATGACTCAGACAGGAGGGCTGACCACAGGGGACATACAACACCCACGCAGTCCCTGGGAGCAGTTCTGGGCAGGAAGAAGCTGCGGGTGCAGGCCTGGCACATACCCAGCATGCCAATGCCCAGCATAAAGGCGTCCATTCCGTAGGGCATGACTCGAGACCTCCCCCGGGCCGAGCCCGTCGGCGACATCACCTCTTTTGGCTGAGCTTTCTTACATTCCACCTGCAAGGAGACGTGGCGGTCAGTTCCTCCTACAGTCAGTCCTAGGGTCACCAACCCTCCTGTTCCCTGGCAGGCCTTTTTTATTGCTAATTTCATAGTTACTATCTACAGAGCACTCACTATGTGCCAGGTAGGCGCTGCCTAAATGGCTTTGCAGGCAACACTTCATGAATGCTTACACCAACCCAATGATGAAGCTACTATTGTCACTCTCATTTTACAGATGAGGAAACTGAGGCTCAGAGAAGGAGAAATTACCTGCCCAATGACTAAGCCAGCAAGAAGTAAAGTGAGGATTTCAACCCACGATTTTTTCTCCCAACCCATGGCTTTTAACCTCCACAGGACACCGCCCTGCTATCCAGATCTTCAGGGCGTGGGCGAACTGGCTCTACCCCACTGACGGGAGGCCCCTCTGCCTGCCTCCAGAACCTGAGCGCCCCCGGCTGGCACAGCGAGGAACCTCAGTCTCTCTCTGCACCTCCACCCATCCAGCGCCAGCTCACCATTTTGTTGTTGATTTCATGGAAATGGATTTCACACACTTTCTCCACGATGTCTTCGCTCTCAAATGTGACAAATCCGAATCCTGCAGGGCAAACGCAGGGTCAGACCTGGGCCCATGGTCAAAAACCAGCCATGTGCCATACCAGTACCACCACTCCTCTCTTGTAGGGGAGTGTCTGAGAGTTAAGGAAAGGCTCTGCCCACACACACAGTCCAGGAACCTCTCAACTACCTTCTGAGACAGGGTTTCTAGATCCAAATCACAAATGTGGAAACCAAGGCCAGGAAAGTAAAGTGACTTGCTCAAGATCACACAGCAAGTTAGAAAGTGGCAAAGCTATGATGAAATTTCACTCAATGTGCCCTTTCTCTTCCTTAGATGCTTTCCAAAGAGGGAAGCACACACACAAACACTTATTTAAACTTACACAAACGTGTACAACCCAAACATGTTTGTACACAGTTGCACTCATATCGGTAGACACACATACACAGAGGTACCTATATATAACACACACATTCCCTGGTGCTCCCAAAAACATAAAGACCCCTACATACATGTATACAGTCACCATGATACAACAGATAACACATAAAATATTCAGATACTGACACCCTCGCATGCAGATATTCACACATGGGACAGCACATACTCAACTCCCAGAACAGGTTAAAAGGCCCAAAGGCCTGAAGCAATTTGAGATCTAGCCCTGCCTCCTCCCGGGTGTGCCCCAGGGACTGGAATGGGATTCTCAGAAGGCAAGGCCTCTGGGAGAAAAACAACTAGGCTGTGCAAACACTGTGGCCCAGATGCTCACAGGTTCAGGGGCAAGGGGGCTGGGGGCTGGGCTTGGCCTGCAGGTGGGGGTGGAGGGCAGTGGCGGGAGCAGACTGCCTGGGGCTTTGAGTCAGCAAGTCAGCCTGACCCTGGGGCGGCCTGGCCTGAGCTCTGGTTACCAGGACAAGGTAAGCCCCAGCACAGACACTGGCTGGGCAGACGTGGGGCCGGGTGGGGGTGGAGGGCTCAGTTGGGGAGAGTCTGCTCCTCTGCTCCTCTCGGGTGTCTGCAATTCTGCAAGTTTCTAGCACAGGAAACGGTGGGACAAAAGCCTTCTGTAAGGCCAGGCCCTGGAGAGGATGCAGATCCTCAGGGATAGGATGTCAGGAGGAGAGATGAAAGGGCAGCTGTGACCTGTAGCCCCCTGGCTGACCACAGGCCCCCAGCCTGGCCTAGGGAGGGGGAGGGGGCCACACGCACCTCGGTGCCGGTTGGTGGTTTTGTCAAACATCAGCATGGCGTCATCCACCTGAAACAGAGCCATTTTGTTGTTGGAGGACCCACCAGATGCCAGGGGACCCACCACAACCCAGGAGCAGGGGCTTCCACACACTCTCCCCTCTAATGCCCAGCCCAGCCTTTATCTTGAACCTGCTCCCTGTGCTAGGGACAATTTTCCATCTGCAACTTCAACTGGATGCCACAACAGCCCCCTTCTAACCACCAGATTCTCAGTGGATCAGCCTGCAAACATTAAGCACCAAATACGTGCCTGGCACTTTGCCCCATCATCCCCTTCACAATCCCTGCATGGCAAGATCCTCATTTTGTAGATCAGGAAATGGGCTCAGAGAGGTGAAGTCACCTGCCCAAGGTCACACAGCAAATCCTAGGTCAAGTGGGTGAGGAGGAGGCACTGAATGAGCGGTAGAGGAGGAAATAGGAGATCAAGACCTGAGATGGGGAAGCGAAAGCCTCTTCCCTTTTTGCAAAAGGCCAGGAGGACAGCAGCCACTCCAGCCAGTCTCAACTCCCCTCTCCTGGTACAGATCTTTTCCTCTAATTGAGGTTTCCTTTTGCTAGAGGCTGTAATTAAAGCAAGCAGAGTTCAGTGCTTGGGCTGCTTGCCTCCCACCAACTGGGGGAGGGAATGGGCTGAGGAAAGGGGAGGGTCTACACTATCCCTCCTCCCTTGGACCCCAGGCTTCTCTTCTTGCTACTCCCTCAAGGCACCCCCTTGGATACATGGACAGCCAAAGGCCTCAGCTTCCCTCCCACAGTTCCACCTCCCTCCCCTTGCCTACATCTGGTGCATCCTCCTGGCCCTCTTAATTCTTCAGCCAATGTCAGCTAACTCCTGGGGTTAAGCTAAGGTCTGATTCATCCTTGGTGGAAATCAAGGGCTGCCTCTGATACCCCTCCACCGCACTCCAGCTGCTGACCCTCCCACAAACGGTCAGACACCCAAGGGACCAAGGAAAACTTCCTGAAGCCATGGGGCAGAGCCTCTCCCCCACTCTCCTTCACTCTGCTTCCAGGCCTGTCATCCGCCTCCTCGAAGGAGAGGGCAGTCCCTGTACAGGGTGGTCCTCCGACTCTACAGGCGCCAGGCTGAACAGGGCCTCTGACTCCCCCTGGGAGAAGCAAGACCCCTCTGAGCGGGGAGGCAGCTGGGCCTTGGAACCTCTGAGAAGGAAATGGCATCTCCCTCCCCAAGAAGCGTCCTGCCCTGGGGCCCTGCAGGGGCATGCCACCCTCCTGCCAGCCTTAGGGACCCACTGGAAGAAGTCGCAGTCCTCAATCTGCTTGACTGCCCAAACTAGAAAGACCCTTCAGGCTCATCACATCTTCCCCCGCTCCTTTTAGCTAATGGAGAAGAGAAACCCATAAAGAAGGGCTGCGATAAAAGCACGGGCTTCCAATTGAAACCCTAGGTCCTGCATTTGCAGATGCGTCATCCTGGGCAAGTGGCTGTGTCCCCGGGACTCTCGCTGCTCATCAGTCAAAAGGGTGTCAGAATGTCTTACGGGGAGGAGTTAAGTGACGTAGTGGATGTAAGACTCTGAACTCACAGTACCTGGGATTCAGTAAATGCTTAATAAATAATAACTATTATTACCTTCTTATGGAGGGACTTGCCCACCGTCACATGGGGGAGGGGGCAAGGCTGGACAGAGCAGCCCAGCACTACTCACTGCCTTTGAAGGTCTCATTAGGCCAGTGCCTGTGTCAGCCATCACCATGACCAACTTACGGAGCACCTTGATTCGTGCTCAATAATTATGTTTTGGATGAATGAATGAATGAATGAATGAACTAGAACCAGCTTCCTCCCTAATACTATAGCTCTGAGTTCCGTCCTGGCCCACAAACTGATTTCAGTCCAAATCCACAGCCCTTTCGGCCTTCCTCTACCCAATCTTCCAATCTACCCAATCTACCATCCCTGACCCCCCAGACCCTTCAACCTGGGCTCTGGCCGGACAGATCCCTAGTAGGGCAGTGAGGTGGAGGCCGGGGTAGGGAGCAAGGAAAGTCCCTGGGGGCCCAGGGGACCCCCACCAGTGTCCCCTCCTGGGGCCAGCTGAGGGGAGGAAGGCTCCCAGCCCGGTGTCCTTAATAGGCTTTGGTCTCCATGGGAACCCAAGGGCAGGGGGGCTTGGGCTGGGGGAGGGGAGGCGGCCGGGGCCTGCTGACCAGTGGGAGCCGCCAAGTTCGGCGGCCTCTAAGCCTGAGTGGCAGCCATGGCGGCTGACCATTGTTCCCCCCTCGGCGGCGGCCCCCCCGATCCGGGCGGGGGGCCCCCCGCCGCAGGGCCCTTGGCATTCCCGGCTGTCCCCCTCGCTCCCTGGCAGCCTATTCTCCGTCTCCCCCTGGCCTCCCCGGGCCGGTTTCACATGCCAACGCCGATTTAGGCCCGAACAAAAGACGCGGCCGCTGACGGCTTCTCCTGGGGCCCGGTTGCCATGGCAACGCCGGCCCCGGGGGCAGGCGGCCTCCAATCACAGCTGCTGGATCAGATTAGTGCGAGCTCTAATGCTCGGCGCTCAGACACAAAGACACCCCGCCGGAGAGAGCGGGGCCTGCTGCTTCCCAGGAGCGTCCTTCCCTCTGGGGCCCAGGCCGCCGACCTGCCCTCTGTCCTGGACCCGGGTCCCTATGGAGGCGCCTGAGCCTCGGCCTCTGGCCCCACGCTGCCGGCATCCCCTGGCCAGGGGACCTCCCAGCCTCTCCCCTTCTACCCTAGAGACAAGGGGCTGGAAACCCACTCAGTCGCCAACTCGCATCCCATTTCCCAAGCCACCTCCTTTGCCCTTTGCCTAACAGGGAACTAAAAATACCTTGATGGGAAAGTAGAGACCCAGCCTCTAGCTGTCTCACGGAGGAATAGATCAGGGACCTCAGCACTAAGCAGAGCAGTCCCATTTCACCCTCACATTAAAATTTGGTCTCCTCTTTGCCATTTTGCCATGGAACCTTGACGTTGACATTGCTCACCTTTCTGGGGACACCCTATTGTCTGATGTCGCCATATCTCCTACTTCATAAACAGCCCAGAAACTAAAGCTGGGTATACCCCAGAGTTGAGAGCCAATCCTTTGGGCTTGATCTTCAGCCCTCCCCCCAATAGGTGGGGGATCAGCGCCGCCCCCCAGCTCCTGCCACAAGCTCCCACCTGTGCAAGCAGGGTGCTGAGTGCAATTGGGAGTCCTATTTATTGCCTCCTTATCATCCTCACCAGGAAGGAGTGGGGGAAGGTGCAACCGCCCATGGCCTGGACAGGTGCAAACTCCCAGGAGGCCCAGGGGGGGACTGGATTGAACTGGCTACAGGAGAGCAGCCTCCCTTGGGAGAATGAAGATAAGCAAGAGAAAAACACAGGCGAAGGGCAACAACAGAGACAGCTACTGTGTGGCTTCTGTCCCTGGGGATGTGTCCAGAGTGTGAGGCCCATAGATAGGCCAGGAGCCTGAACGGTGGGTTGGCCTGGCCTCACCCACACCAGGACCCACCCCTCTTTCACCTTTTGCAGGGACTGGAATGACCCGGCTGGACTCTGTCCACCACTGACCAACCCTACAGGCCTTTCACGCCCCCGGCAAGCCCCCTGGATTTGACCTACCTTCCCGAACTGCTCAAAATATTGCTTCACGTCCTCCACCGTGGTGTTCACTGAGAGCCCCCCCACGAAGATCTTCTTCGTTCGAGTCACCATCTGTTAGGGGGAGAGAATGAGAAAGTGGGCATCTGAGTCCTGTGGCCTACTGCCACCAGCAGGGGCTCGAGCCCTCCTGCCAGGGTGCCAGCTGACAAGCTCTCTGTGGCCCCAGCTACTCGGAAGCCCCCCCCACCTAGCTCCCCCTCAGACCCCCGCCTCTAGGCCTGTCACAGGCAGCTGTGCACCCCACACCCTGGCCGGCTCCAGTGTGCCCGCCTCCTGCCTCCCTCCCCAGGGTCTGTGTGGGGAAAATTCCTTCCCTAAAGACCACCAGAGAGAAGGGGGTGGTTTAGTGACCCAGACGTACAGCCTATCTTAAAGACCCCACATGTTTCCCCCTGGGAGAGGCCAAGGCCCATCACAGGGTCCCCCTGAACTCCATGCCGACATTTTCCTCATCAACCTCTTCCCAACCCAACCTTTGGCAGCCCTGTGGCCCCAGCCCTGTTTTAGGAAGAACACATGGTCCTAATTACCCCAGGAGCGCATGGCTAATCCACGGCAATTCCCAGCCCCATCCTAACACTAAAGCACCTTCTGTCACCAAACTGCTTAATGGAATTAACCCAATTCCGACCATGTGCTCCCTGGTGCGGCTTCCTTCGAATACCTGCTCTGTAATTGCTTTCAGGCCCTCTGCTGGACCCTTCTAGAGGGTCTCTTAAAAGCTGTCCCTTGCCCTGACCATGTGTCTCAGCATCACCCTGCAAAGTGAAGGGTTGCCAGTTCAAGTCCCAGTCGGGGCACATGCCTGGGTTGCAGGTGTGGTCCCCAGACAAGGCACATACAAGAGGCAACTGATCAAATGTTTTTCTCTCTCACATTGATGTTTCTCTTTCTCCTTTCACCTCTCTCTAAAAATAAATAAAATCTTTTTTAAAAAATGTCCCTTTCCCTTCGCTGTGGCAGGAGCTGTGCACCATGGCTCAAAATCCTAAAGCATCTAAGGAAACTAAGGTCTCCTGGAGAGGGACCTGGTCCTTGGACACCTGATAAGTCAGCAGACACAGGGGTCCTGCTCTCTGTTCTGTAGGCAGCCTTCCTGTCTTTCCCCTACATTCAACTCCTTAAAAATTAAGATCTGGCTACTTGTCTTAGGGCCTGGAATAGAATCTCAGGCCGCTACTCTGGACCAAAATTTTGAGTGCTACATAGTTCAATTGCTCGGAACTCTGTTTTCTGCACACCCAGAAAAATTCGCCAGAGCACCAGGGGAGGAGAGCACTTGGGAGGGCAGCCACAGTCACCCAAGTTGAAAGACAACAGGTGACGGACTCCACAGTCCCTCCCCCTTCCCCAAGCCCAATACATCACACTCAAGGGGTAGCAGAGTGACTGGGGTCAGAGGGCGCTCCCTGGCCCAACCCTAACTGAGCCTCAGGGGTTAAGTCTGTCCTGGATTTGACCCCAGAGGCACTGGGCACAGAGGCTGTGATCTCTGAGGTCAGAATTCGACTCAGGGCCCAAACCATACTGGCTTCAAATACAGAACAATGAGTCCCCTGAGGGGTTCCCCTTCTCCCAACACATGCAGCCCCCTCCCTGCTCTACTGCAGGGCACAGATGGAAAGAGGACACACGGTGTCTTCAACCCACAGAGCAAGGATATTAAAAATTCTCCCTCCCCCTATCCCAGTCCATACAGAAGTTCCAGAAGCATCTTTCATGGAAAGGATGTTGGGAATATCCCTGCCCTCTGTAACGGAGCTCCTCCCAGACAGAGACACACCTACCTTAGGCTGTGCTCGCCGAGGAAAGGCCACCTTGGGATCAATCTGAAAGAGAAGAGGCCTTGGTTATCACACTTCAGATGGGTCACCGCATAGCCTTCAGCCCTGCAGACCTCCCTCGTCCCAGGACACAGGAGTGAGAGAAACCACCCCAGCCTCTAGCAGGAAAGTGTAGTGGTTAAGCACTTGGGCCCAAGAGCCAGGCTACTGGGTTCGAATCCCACTTAGGCTGCTTCCCAGCTGTGAGACCTTAGGCACGTTACTTAGCCTCTCTGAGCCTCAGGGTCAAGCTCACCTGCAAAAGGGGCGAACAATAACGTCCACCTCCAAGGGTCACCTGCAGATTATATTAAATAATGCTTACAAAGCACTTGGCATGGTGTCTAGCTTACAGTGAGAACCCCCAAAAGTAAACAAAGTCTTATTCCTTTAAGCACCAGGTATATCCAGGACCTTGCCAGCTTAACTGACTTCACACAGATACTTGTCTAGGTGAGGCATGCAAATTCAGACTTCTGAAGTCTTGCAAATGGAAACTCTTTGCTTCAAGATAAGAGTTTATAAACCACCCCGCAATGAACTCAGTTGTTCCCCCGATATTATCGGCATCTAACAGTTCTCCTTGAGGGTGCAAACAAACAGCTTCCTGAGAATGCAGCTAGGCTTGGGGTGAAGCAGAGTCCAGGCTTTGGTGACGTGCGAGGGCATGGGACTTGGACTCAGAAAATCTGGGCCCCTGGCCAAGCCTGTGATCTTGGGAAGTTGCCTGGCCCCTCTGAGCCTCAGTTCCCTCATCTGCAAAGTGGGGACAATCACACCCACTTTTCCCAGGGGCAGCTGGGGGAAATCAAATGAGATAAGGTGGGTGAAAGCGGTCCTTTGTGAACTGCCCTTCATTGCACAAACAAAGGTGCTATTACCAGTGGGCCACCTTTGCCCTTGGCTATGAACAACCAGAGGGAAAAAGCAGCATGCACCTGGGTATTCCTGGGTATTCTACCTGTACTTAGAAACGGCCAAAGGCAGGGCATGAGACATTCTGACCAACGCAGAGCCTAGGAAGTCAGTCATTCCAGAGTTTCTTGGCACCCGCATGGGTGGACACCACTCAGAAGTTCACCAGCCAATCGCAGGCAAGATCTATCTTTTCCCAAAGTTCCTTCCGTTCAAAAATCAGCCTCGTTCTAGGCGACTGGCTTCTGGCTCCTCTCTGCTTGAACAGCACAAACCAGGGACCAGCTTCCACCAGTCTCCCTCACTGGAATTTGCCCACAGAGAAGGAAGCTCCAAAATCTGCGCTGGGGCAGTGCCTCCTCTCTCCCGAAGTCCCACTCAGCCCCAGAGAAAATCACAGCTATCCATTTTCCCTGCCTGAAGGTGTGATTTTGTACATCTACTGACATGCTCGTCCTTCTAGATCTCCTGGAAGCAGCCTCCCTGGCCACCAGGGCATGGCTCACAGTCCCCTCGCGCAGACCGCAATGGGGAGATGGTACCCAAGCTGCGTCCCGCAGACCTACAGACACGGCATCCCTGACAGGCCCCGCCTCCATTCTGACTCACAGCTGGCAACATAAATAAAACCCAACAAATAAATAAAAGGTGAAAGTCAGAATCTAAAATAGACTCCCCCTCATAAACCTCCCTCCCACCACCTCTAACCCAGGCCAGAGAATGCCAAGCACAAGGCCCCTGCCCTTGAGTCCCAGTTCTCAAAAAGGATGCCCAGCTCACCCTCCTTCCTCGCCTCTCTCGGCCCCTTATCAATCTTCCATCCCCCCACGCCCCAGTCCCAGCCCCTAAATCTCAGCTTCCTGAGCACTGCAGAAGCCATCAGTGCATTCTGAGGACAGGGGATGGTAGGAGAACAGGCGGCTTGATGGCAGATAATCACCAAAAACAATAGGCCACTGTCTCTCCATTCCCAGCTTGGGTCACTCAGTCTGAGCCAGGAAGATCCTTTCAGGGCCGGCGAAGTTGAGGCCTGGCCTCGTTTGCTCATTACTGGGAGCAGGAGTGGGAGCCACTAGGCAGAGATAACAGGAGCTGGGGACAGGCGGTAATTTAACAATTTCTTAGGCACAACCAGCTATTGTTGCAGGTAAACAGGAGCCAGTGACTGACCCAAGCAGGGAGGCCCAGGGCTGGAGGAGAGTGGGGGAGTGTGGAGAGAGATCACACTGTCCTGTCCTGTCCCCGTCCCTTGCCAGATGGTCTCCCCGCTCACAGGTCACCCCCATTACAGAGTAACCCCTCCTATGACTTTCTCCTTTTCCCTCTCCCCTTGAGCCGGGGCCTGGGCCAGAGCGCTCCTGCAGGACTCAAGACACTAGGGAGCAGTGGGACAACAGCAAAATGTTCCAGGACTTTGAATATCAAACAAGCAGCTGAGATCTAGCCCTCAGAAGGGTTTTTCCAGGCAACCTAGCTCCCTTCTCATAAATCCCTTCCTGGGCAAAGCAGGTCTGGGTCTTCCACACAAAGCAAGGAGCTCATAGACCAAAAATCAGGGGCGAGTGGTGAGGGGGTTCAGTGATGCTTGGCCATTGGTCTGGAATGAGGGGGTGTCGCAGAGCCAAATACTAGTTGCAGTTCGGGGAAGCCACGGGGTGGGTCACTGCAACCCTGACTCACCCAACTTGGGCTACCGGAGGGACCTAGCCCCACCCCGACCTCCTGTCTGAGGCATTAAGATTAGCATGTATGGGGAGGGGGTGGTAGCTGATTCTCCCCTCCTCAGCGCTGGAGGGTTTGGGAGGTGTAGCATCTCAGGGCAGGCCTGGGTTTGTTCTCTGCCGTCAACTCTAGTGACAAAGTTTCAGAGCCTGGCAGCCCTTCTACTCAGAAAACTCCCTTCTTCCTCAAGGACCCCGTCCAACTGTCCTCTGGGGAGAGTCCTGACCCTCTCCTCCGGCGGCCTCCCTCTCCCAAAGGACCCCCGAAGCCCCGAGGGCCACTCACTGTTTTGGAGTCGAGCTCGTGCCGCGATTGCGCCAGCACTTTATCCACCCCCGCCTGGTCCATGAAAGTGACGAAGCCGAAACCCCTGCGCGCCGTAGTGAGGGAGAGGCAGATGGTTACAAGGCAGTGAGTGGCGGTGGAGGGGGGCGAGCCGGGAGCAGGAGGAGGGGGTGAGGGGCTCACCTGGATCTCTTGGTCAGGGGGTCCCGCATCACCAGACACTCCTTCACCTCCCCGAACTGGCCGAAGTATTCGCGCAGCCCTTCTGTAACCACACACCCGCCTTCGGACCAGCCCGGGCCCCGCGCCCTTCCCCCCTCCCCCGTCCTTTGCCCCTGGTGACCCCGGCGCGGCCCCGCCGCCCCCGCACCAAGCAGCCTGAGCGCTCTCCACTGTCCCCCCCACCTCCAGCCCTCACCCGGCTCCCGTGGAGCCTCCTGGCGCCCACGGGGGCCCCAGGAAGCTGAGGGCCGAGCTGGGCTGGAGGGGGGACGGCTCCGGCCGGGTTCCCGCCGCTCCGGGAGCCGCCTCACAAAAGTTTGAGCCGCAGGTGCGAGCGGAGTTGGCGCTGCCGCCGGCGGGTCCCGGGGGCCCAGCCCTCCCCCCGATGCCCCCTGAACCCCTCATCTCCACCCCTCCACCCGCAGGGCCGTGCGCGCTTGGTGATCGCCCTGCACTCTCGGGGTCCCCGGGCGGGGCGCGAAAGAGAGCGCAGAGGCGCCCGGGGTCAGTAGGGCGCAGGGCCGAGATGGGGTGTCCGGTTCCGGGGCGCCGGGGGGTCCGGGGTGCCCTGCCGGGCCGGCGGGCGCTCCCGGGCTCGCTCACCCTGCGTAGTCTGCCAACTGAGTCCCCCGATGAACATCTTGCTGCGGGAGGAGGAGAGACACAAAGGGCCCGCGTGAGCGCCGGGAGCCGGGGCGCAGGGGGCGCGGGCCCGGGCCCCGGGGAGGCCCGGCCCGACCCGGATCGGCCATGTTGGCGGGGCCGGGGCGGGCGCGGGCCGGGCAGGCCGGGCCGGGCCGGGCCGGGCCGTACCAGGGGTCGTGCGGCGAGTCCGGGGAGGCGAGGCCGGGCTGGGGCGCGTCAGTCTCCATCGGGAGCCGCGGGCGGCGCGGGCAGTGCAGCGGCGGCAGCGGCGGCGGCAGCGCTCGGCGCGGGGCAGATGAGGTGCGCGGCGAAGGGGGCCGGACGGACAGGCCATGCTGCCCCCTCCCCCGACCCCGCTCGGGCGGGCGGGCGGGGACGGCCGAGGGGAGGGCCCGCCGGGGGCCGACCTGCCGGCTCCTCCCCCCGCCGCCCTGCGCGCATAAAGCCCCGCGCTCGCCGGCGCGTCCGGGCGCCCGCGGAGGCGGCGGCGCCTGGACCCTGCTCTCGCTGGGCTCCCGGGTCCCCGAGGGTGAGAGAGACCCCGAGTCCCGATGCGGGCCGGGACCTGGGCGCGGCCGCACCCCCCACCCACCCCACCGCGGGGGCCGGGCCGCGGGAACGCCCTCCCGGAACGAAGCGCTTCCCGGTGCCTTCAAGGTAGCTCGGTTCCTGATCGGGGACCCCCAGTCCTTCCTCTCAGGCCCCCGCTACCCCCAATCTAAAAGATCCTCAATCTCCCTGGGTCGGGAGGGAGATAGACCCGCATCTCCCAAGCCCCCCACAGTGCACGGGGTGAGGATCCCTCCATTCTCCCAGTCGGAGCGAAAAGCCGCTCTCCGAGCCCCCAGTTGCCTCGGAACCTAATTTAGGGTTCCCTCTCAACGGCTCTCAGTCCACTCCCAGGGTCCCATATCCCTCATAGCCAACTTGGGGAACCCTTTCTGTGCCTCGCGTCCCGAGTGGGGAGCCTCCATCCGCACCCCAGTAGAAACCGTGTCAGTTCCCCCAATTACTTTTTATCCCTTGCTGTCCCAAATGAGAATTCCCTCAGCTCTCCTAAATCCCTTCCGTCCACAGAAGCCCCCCTGCCCCAAGCCTGTGTTCCCAGTTTCCTACCACCCCCATCCCTGCTATGAGGAGTCTCCACTGTTTTGGGGTTTTTGTTTTTTGGTGCTTTTTTTCCCCCCACTCCCTGGCTCTTGTCAGCCCCGCTTAAGACTCCTGTCTGGGTTCCGTAAAGCCGGTTCCAGCCGCTCACCGCCCCCTCCCCACCCAGTCTGGGGGAGAGGTCAGTGCCCCCTAGAGACTCCCTTCTCCAGTTTAGGAGTCCGGTGGCCCAGCTGTGCACCTTCCCCCTCCGATGACCCCCTCGTAAGCCCCACCCATCGGACTGGAAAAACCTAACTGCCTAGCCACTGCGTTTGGAGTTACTTCTCTCCTTCCGTCTCCATTTGAGATGCTGCTCACAAGGCAAACGCCTTCAATTCCCCTCATTCTTCCCCATGCCCCCATCTTACGGGCCTCTGAGGTCCCCGAGAAGGTTCACTCAAGGCTCTTGGCGGCCAGCTCCCCCACCTCGAAAACGCCCTCCTTCCAGCCGGGGAGCCGTGAGCAAGTCCATGCTGCATCACTATGGAAGCCAGAGGCGGCCCTCCCTGTCCCCATTTGGCCATATCCATATCCTCTCCTTAATTTCCCAGCCCAGAAAGAGTCAAATCAGGGGGCTGAGGCAGCCAGCCACGCCCTCCCTCCCCCAAATTCCCATCCCTGCTGGGGGGGGGGGTTCTCAGTGCCACCCGAGCCTCTGCCTCCCAACTCACCTCCCACTCTTTCCCCTCCCGTCTCTACGTTAAATCTACCCCGTGTGACCCCGTGACACCCCTTGATGACGTCCCATTGCCTCTCACCTTGACATCCTTTCTCCAGTCACCTTTTACGAATGTGTGCACTGACCTCGGGAAGGGCGCCATTCCCCACCCCCACCCCGTCTTAGTACACTTGCCCTCCGCCCACCCCAATCACCACAGGTATCAGAACGTGAGAAACTCAAGTTAATGGTTTCCTCTGGACCTTCTGGGAACACTCAGCAGGTATATCCTGCCACTCTGTGTGTGTAGCACCATGCCAACTTGCTTTTTCCTGTTTTTATCCTCCTACCGGCCCCACAGTTTCTCAGACTCCCCTGACCTCGGGCTGGGGGGCTTCCCACGCAAGGCATGTCCCACCATCTCAATATAAACGGGGACATCAGGTGTGTCCTGGAAGAGATGCAGATGAAGGTCAGCAGGTAGCACCTTCAGTGTTAGGGAACTGACTCTTCCTAGGTCTGAACCTCATGTTCCTTGGGTGTAAAATGGAGCCAATGGCGAGGTGGAGGGAGGGGACAGCCCTAAGTGTCCATGGGCATTGGAGGTGTGCGGGTGCTGTTGGGCAGGTGGCCTGGAGGGTAGGAAATGGGTACGGTCCTTCGTCCAGAGCCAGCCAAACCTATGTGGGTGGTAGATTGAGATAGGATCCATTTATTGGTGTCCCCGCTCAGGAGGAGGAAGTGTATTCTTGTCACCCCCCCAGTCTGAGGCACAGTAATGTGGGAGGTGGACTCACAGAAGTTGCCTCCTACTGCAGGCTTATCTCAGCCTTGCTGCTTCCGTCCCCTTTACTCGCACTAGGGACAAGGAGTCTTCCCATGGCCAGGCTTCACAGGACAGTGCAGCTGTAAGTGCATGATCCTTGTCGAGGACCGAGGATCTCAGCGGTGTTCAGGAAAAATGATCTTCAGAGCAACTGGCCCAGACTCCAGAATGAGGAGATTAGAGGATATGGTTCCAGATCTTTCTGTCTAGTACTCTACATGCTGACCATCACTCAGAGAATTAAAGAATAATTTGTTTTATAGCTTTTTTAAAAATCTCTTCAAGAAAGAGGGCAAATGACTTAATGCCCAAGGACTAAGATGCAAGTTGGCATATTCATTCCTGCCACAAATATTTATTGAACACCTGCTGCCCAGCAGACACTGTCTTAAGCACTATATTCCTAGCACCTACCTTTGTGAAGCTTGCTTTCTAGAGATGGGAGTCAGATAATAAATAAGTAGATAAATAAATAAATTAGTAAGATGTCAGATGTTGGTAAGTGCAGTGGAGAAGGAAGAAGGAGAGGGCGTGGGGGAGGTATGGGGGAGAGGGGGAGATGCAATTTTAAATCAGAAAAGTTCTCATAGGGAGGGGGATGTTTTAGCAAAGATTTGAAGGAAATGAGGTACATTAATCTACTGTATTATCCGAACTCTCACTTAAGCAGAATGTCTTCATCTCTTGAGTGCAATGCTAATTGATATTCACAATTTGACTTCCACTGCTCTAAAAACAATGGTTCCCAAACCTTAATGTGCTTAAAATATCACCCAGTGATTTTTCAGCAGGCACAGGGTGAATGGGGGCCCTGAAAACTGCTTTTGTTTAAAACAAGCACCTCTATCAGATGATGCTGATAGCTGAGGTTTTCCTTGGACCACTCTTAAAGAAACATTGCTCTAAAATAAAGAGTCTCCCAGAATGACAACAACAACAAAATTAGAGGTAAATTATAGTCTATGTGGTTTTAGTGTTGAGAGTATTTCACTGTGTTCTCATTCTTTGAAAATGCAATACCCAAGCAAAATCCTGGATTACTCAGAACATCCCATTTCTTGTCCAAGCAGGAGAAGGAAGAATTTATCATAAGCTGGTTAGGAGCTAAACATTTATGATCAGTCTGTTTTCACCCTTCCCCTCTTTTTGGCCCTAATTTTTTTTTCTATACTTTTTCCTTTTCCCGAATTTCTGAACACAACCAGCAGGTGACCGGCTTGGGTAATGAAAGCACTGGATCAAGAGAAGATAGTTTCGCAGGTGGGCCGTGGAACCGCCACTGTTTCTGGTTGAACCTAGAGATACACCACTCAGCCTTCTGAGCTTCAATTTGCTCCCCGAGTTGCTGCGAGACTTGAGTGAGATCATGTATTTGAAAGCACCTTAAAATCTCTAAAGCACTCTGGAAAGAGAAAGAAACTGTGCATTTGCAGATCCAGCTAATTTGGCCCAGTTCCAGTTCAGTTACATTCAAGACAGCATGGTACTGGTATAAAGATATACATATAGATCGAGAGAAGAGAAGAGAAGAGTCCAAAAATAAACCAGTCTCTTCAAAAAATGGTGCCGGGACAACTGGATAGTCATACGCAAAAGAATTAAGTTGTACCTCTACCTCACACCATATACAGACACTAACTCAATATGGATCAAAGACCTAAATGTAAGAGCTAAAACTTTAAAAAGAAAGATCAATTGGACATCATTAAAATGAAAAACTTGTGCTCCAAAGGACACTATCAAGAAAGCGAAAAACAACCCAGAGAATAGAAGAAAAATTTTGCAAAGCAAATATTTGATGAGGGACTTGTATCTGGAATGTATAAAGAAGTCATAAAACCCAATAATAAAAAAGGTAAATTATCCTATTGAAAATGGGCAAAGGATCTGAAAAGATACGTCTCCAAAGAAGATACGTAAATGGCCAATAAGCACATGAAAAAACTGCTCCACATGATTAGCCATAAGGAAGGGCAAATCAGAAAACCGCAGTGAGATACCACTCTACACCTACTCGGATGGCTGTATTATAATAAAAAGGATAGATAATAACAAATATCAGGAAGGATGTGGTGAAATTGGAAGCTTTGTACATTGCTGGTGCAGCACTATGGAAAACAGTCTGGAAAAGCAGGTCCTCAAAAGGTTAAACACAGAATTACCATATAACCTAGCAATTCTATTCCTAGGTCTATACTCCAGAGAAATGGAAACATGTCCACACAAAAACATGTACATGAAAGTTTGCAGCAGCATTATTCATAATTGCCAAAAAGTGGAAACTCAAATGTGTGTCACTTCTATGCAATGGAATGTTATTTGGCCATAAAGAAGAATGCATTACTGATACATGCTACAACACAGATGAACCTTGAAAATATTATGCTAAGTGAAAGAAGCCAGAAACAAAGGTCACATATTACATGATTCCATTTTCATGAGATGCCCGCAGTAGGCAAAGCCACAGAAAGAGGAAATAAACAGGCAGTTGCCTGGGGCTTGTGTGTGCAGGGAAGGAGTCAGGAGAGATTGGGGAGAAATGGGTACAGGTTTTTATTGGGAGTGATGAAAATATTCTAAAATTGATTATGGTG